TGGACCTGATTGTACTTGCTACAATAAACCTGTGAACGTTGAAAACAGAGAAAGGATGTTCCACTCTTGTTGTGTGACACTTAAAGGAAAAATTCTTCATCGGTTTAACAAATAGCAGTCTCATCCGTGCAAAAATCTGTGAAGCAATGAAGATAAGCTAAAAGCAGTGAATTTTGAGGTTTCAGGTAACAAATGTGTTAAACGTCAGTAAGAAGAATAATTCTCCTAACTGCGGCTGTTAAGTGAAATGCGTGGCTCTGATCTGCCAAATGCTCTATACCATTGAGCAGCTCGTCACTAATTGTGTCTGACGAGGGCTGCAGCCAAAACAATGCTGTGACAGTGAGTCAAAACAAAGAGCCAATAAAGCCCGGTGGAAGTTTTCTGTGGGATTGTCTCCGAGCATCTATTGTGAATATGCGCAATCTAATTAGTCACACAGCTTAAAGTGAGCATGAAAAGCTGTTAGTGTCGCAATGAAGTCAAAGTTAGTCACTTTGTCAAACTGGATGCTTAATTTGTCACGTGAAATCATAATGACAAAAATGGAAAAAATGTTTGCATGCAAAATCTAAGCTAAACTAAATGAAAAAATGAAATACCTTTTCAGATTCATCTACTTCATATATTGCATGTGGACTGTTAAAAAGATTAATCCCCTGTTTCTGACTCTTGTCAACACTCCTAGAGGGGTGGGGGTGGGGAGTGAGGCCAAGCGAGAGTGAACACAAAATAGTTTGAAGCACTGAAAAAATCTAACCACTGTGGGGTGGTGTTTCTCTACATAAGAGCATGGCTACACCTACAAGTGTGTTTTTTAATAAATTATTCTAAAAATGAATGAGCCGTTTCTGTTTTTTTGCTGAAATGCTACACACTCAGAAATTACATCAAACTTCTCACATTAAATCATTGTCATTCTTAGCTTAAAGACCAACACAACTCTGCATTGTAAATGTGCATCTTTCATATGAATGTCTTAGTCAGCGTGAAAGCTTATGTTATTTTATAATTCACAGCTTTTAAAACTCACAATAAGTGGACTGTGAAGAAATATGCCTTTCAATTCCCCAGCGTACTGTAGATCGTACACTTTTGCGTTGAATTTAAAGATGTCAAGAGACAAAAATGAACAAACACATAACTCAGAAACATAGTAGTGAAAGCTGCTTCTCGGTGTTTCATTGTAGTTTCTGTTTAACAAATATTTGTATTTTCTAAAGACCAACTGAGCTCTGGTATCTGACAGTATTAGTTTAAAATAGAAAAATGCCCCCCCAGCGCATGCTTTTGTCGATGCACACAGAGGAAGATTTTTCAGAAGATTTTTATGTTACTGTAATGTTGCTATAATATTGCCAGAATTAAACACATTATGTTAGGAAACATGTTCAGCAAAAGAAGTTGGAAGATGTAACTTGATCCATTTTGTTTTTTTGAGTTTGGACTCTTTATTTCGGATGTCAAAAGCAAGTTTTTATTAACTTACGTCATGGCGTTTCCATGTCATTCAGGAGTCACGTGGATCACCTCACAGGCCTTTTTAAGCAAATGAACAAGGCTGGTTTTACTGGCTGTGATTGATTGCCCTACTGTGAACCACCTCTTCGGTGATCTATTGGTGGTAATTCAATACAAGTTTCTATAAGTGAGGCAGGTGTGCCATGTGCCTACAGCTAAATGAATACCAAACATAGGCACCACACCCTGTCCAACATGTGCCTTTCTTCAGGTCACTGCCCTTTCACCATGCACCGCTGATTATATCATTACGTGAAACGGAGAGATGCTCTGACAGTCAAAGATGCTAAACAGAATTTGCAACGTAATGTTCATCATTGAAAAAACAGGAAAAGGGAACAACCTAAACTGCATGAAAAAGGTTGTAAAAGGACCTGTGGCCTTTTTAACATCCTCACTTATGGACTTTTGGTCTGATTTTAAGTCTCCACAAAGTTATAAAAGTATAGAAGTGTGACCAACTAAAAGATAGTAGAAACACAGATGTTTGGCAATTTAGGTTAGATGAGGTCCACAGTGGCATGGACTTGGCAAAGATAAAGTGAATGCATAGCTCTGACAGTGAATCAAAGCACTGCAGGGAGACTGAATGAGGGCAAAAGGTGTTTGGGAGATTATATCTATAGATAGCAGGATGGATGCCTGTGGATATACCAAGAAACAGACCCAAAAGAGGACCCCCAATTCTACGGAGGGTGCGTAGGAAAGTGATATTCCAGTATAACAGCCCAAAGTACACAGCAAAACTTACAGAGGAGCCTCTCGAGACGCTCAGACTATGACACGGCCAAGTGTGCTGCCAGACTTGAATACAACTGGAACTCTCTGGGTGTTAAAAAGAAAGAAGTAGGGCAGCACTTTCTCATTTAGCAGACACTTTTACCCACAGCAGCTTAAAAGTGAAGAACAACATTCAACCCTCCACAGAACAAGAGACCCATGAGTGGGCATTAATCAAAAAGGAAAGATTAAAAGTAAAACAACTGCAAAAGTGCAAAATCAGATTGAGTAGGGCATTTTGTAGGTGTGTAAATTGGACATGCCTCGCAGGTTTTAAAGACATCCTCAACTAAAAGAACATTTAACCCTCAGTATGTGAACGTATGAAAGTGATTAAAAAAATGTAATCGTTCAAATGTCAGCGATGAGAGGTATAAGGACGTTTGTGACATCTTCTGACGATTTTGAATTCGGACATGTGTCCATGTGACAAATGTCCATACTAGGATCAATGCTATACTCACCCCCATACAGTTTTGAACTTAATTTAAGTGACGGTGCATACACATTTGTACCATGCAAAACACCTAAATCCTTTTAATAAGTTGCCAAGAAAACAGGAAAGTGGTGCAGTGACTTATCTAAAGATGGGAAATGATAAATAGAAATATAGCTATTAAGGAAAAATACAGTCTGTCTGATTGTAACTCATTTTATGCACACTTTTAGAGTAAGATAAAAATATAGATAAAAGCAGGACTAAAAATAAATGTTAAATTTTCTTTGGAAGTGATATGTTCAAATTTGAACTCATCTTTCCATAACAGCTGCTATGTTTTAATCATTGTGTCTTGTCAGTGCTTAGCTTTTTCTCCCACTTTCTTTTGCCTAAGAATAACCTGGCCTGTGTCAGGTCTTTGACAGAATTTTCCCCCCATTTATAAAGATTATTAATTTGAGAATATTTTATTCTGCTATTAGAATTTAAGATTTAAGGTAACACTTCTTCCTCTTTCTTGGATTTCAGTTTTCTTAGGACTGTGCACTATGTTAGGATATGTCAGGTTTTTTAAACTAACTCTTTGAGAATCATCTTGTTGGAGCAAAACTAAAACTTTTCCCATTTGAGACCGTGTTCTCTTTGGCAGATAAAACAACTGAAACGGGAGCAACAAATGCATCTGTCTAACACAGTACTTCTAACAAAGTACTTAATGATACAAATCTATAGAGATCTATTTTTTTTTTCGGTAAAAAAAACAACACTCTTACTTAAATTATTTGTAGGTCAGTGTTGATTGCTGATCATCTTTTAAGGACCAGACGGAAAGCTGGGGAAAAAAAGCAACTATCACTGAATAATGGTTACATGAGACCTCTTCATAAGTTTTAAAAAAAGTCTGGCTCATTAGAAATAAAATATATTGTAAAAAATAACTCAAAGATTTTTTTTTACTCAGAACTGTGCAATCAATATTTGGATATATTTCACTTTAGAGAAAATATATCACACTGTCATGAAAACAGCGTCGGTTTATGTAACTATTTCAAACACTTTCAGGATACTTAAATTGTTTTTGACCAGTGCAAAACTATTAATAAGTTATAGACAATGGACGAATAGTCCATCGTTATCTTTTTGGAGACTTCGAGCAGCCACATACCATGTCAGGCCTCGTGTCCTGCTGGCCAAAGTAGGCATTAATGGAATCATGAGCCTTAAAGTTGTCATTAATGAACCCCCTTAAAATAAACATATATAAGCTATAAGTCCTTTGAAACATGTTATGGGTAAATAGTCTCATATTTCAGTAACACACAAACGCACACAGGTGAAACTTAAAAATGAAAAAGACCATCTTAAAACCTGCAACAGGAAGCCGGAAGCTGTTATGAAAGCAGTTATCGTGCTCAAAGCTAATTAAATCTGCACTTTTCCTGTGTGCTGAGGCTTAAACAGACAGAAGGGTAAAAGACAACTAAACACAACAATATGTAATTGGTTTGAGGAAGGCGTCTCTAACTCCTGCATTCTTGCCACTCATTCACCCTTAATTTAAAAGTTAAAACATCTTAATTCTTAGGATTTTGTCACTCCTGACACTGTCTTAAATACGGCCTGCACAGAGAATTATACTTGCATGCTTAATGTAATCAATTGACATGTTATTGAATCTTTAGAATTCTGCAACTCTCACAATTCAACATGATAAACTCATGATAATGATCCTGCTTTATATAACCATGAGCATGCTCAAAGCTTCCTGCAAACACTACACTCATGTGCAATAAAAGTTTTTTTTTAAACATTTTTTTATTACCTAGAGACTGTGACTATGCTCAGTATTGATTCAATTGCCCTCGGCTGATTGAGCTGAAAAACAAAGCTGCAGACTGGAAATGTACATGTGTACAGGCCATCTAAAGACAATAAACAACTATTTCTAATACACTAAATTATGTAACATGACATATTTAAAACATATTTTTATGACCAAGTTTTGCTTTCTGCTAAAGCACCATGCCTATAATCTATAAATTGGTCATAAACTAATTAGAACTCGTGTATTTTGCCCTTGGAGCCCTTAACTCCTAAGAAATTGGGGGGAAACGTGTATAAAGGTTTGAAGCCAAGTTTGTCAAGGTGCTGTAATGCCTATCTATACATGCAGAGACAAACACTTTGAGTCATTATGGCCCTCCAGACATGTGTGATTTTTTTTTTTTTTACCTGACTGTGTTGAAACTCGTGGTAGGGGAGTGTGCACTTGTTGGCAGAGTCTCGACGTTGCGGTGCAGGTTTCGCTGGTGCACAGGCCGGGGGCCCAGTGCTGCTGCAGGTTGTCCGGTAGGGTGCCTGCCGAGCTGCAAGCACGCTGTTGATGTCAGGAGAGGAGGGGGGAACGCGAGGAATGGCTGAAAACTGACGGTGCTCTCCTGCAAAGGAAACAAACCAGGACGCAAATGATCGTCCGGCATGTTTAGTTGAAGCTTTCGCTGCCACGGGGCTAGCTCATTAGCGACACTTTACCAGATACCGCTAGGTTTGGTGTTCTTTTTTTTCTTTTTTAATTGGGTTATTTAATGGGACAGCGAAAACGTAAAAAAACGCAAGGTAGGCTGCCGCTGTTGTCGCCACTTTATTTTCATGGACTAATACGACAAGCAGGTTTGAGAAATGCTCCTCAGCAAGGTAACTTGCTGGTCTCCGGTGGGGTTTTAAGCTAGCTAAACGCTCGCTCGCGCATTTTTTCTGATCAGGCTCGTGAATGTATGAAGTGTTCGGACGTTACATTTTGTTTTGAACTGCGGCGGTTAGGCTACATCTCTTCATGCCTCAACCGTCCGACCACATGAGAAGTCGACGTCTGGAGTAGAAGAAACCGCAAACAAAAGGCTCGTCTTTTCACCGCTTTCACCTGAACCGACGCGGAGAAAATGCGTGTGGATTTGTTTTGGATGTGTTTGTGGTGTTTCCTTCGCCCCGTTGCCTCCGGTCAAGGGCAGTCAGCGGCCGTTTGCTCGCCTTCGTGCAGCTGCGATGAAGATGGGGGTGCAGACTGCTCGGGGAGAGGGCTAACCGCCGTCCCAACTGGCCTCAGTACTTTCACCTACTACCTGTAAGTAACTAGCCATCATCCACAGGGGAATCGAAACCTTAAGGGTGTGTGTGTGTGTGTGTGTGTGCTGGTAAAAGCCCGAATATGAAGTCCTGGAAATGGGACTTTTCTTGTGTTTCCAACTATGTGAAAGATGGTCATTGAACACCTCTGAGCAAACTTTGTTGAAGTAGCTCCACTGAGGAAATGCTTGAATAGAAATGTTAGGGAGACTATCTGCACATTATTTGATGTGTTATAACTTCAGAGAGGTTGCATAAATCCAGTTACAATTTGTTATCAGCTCTATAACATTTATACAACTTTAAAGCAGACAGTTTCTGCTAAATTTCCTTTGCATTCTAATAATTTAATGATATAATATTAAAAAAGAAAAAACTAACTAAAATCCTATTTGAAAAATATTACACATAAACAACTTATTTGTGGGAGTTACTTTACAGTTACAACCGTGCAAATTCATGGTTTTGTAAATGTATACATTGAGATCTTATTCTTCTTTTTGTTAACGTTTGCATTTCTAAAAAGTCCCAATGGAGGGAAAATGCACACATCTCAAGTTTTCAAGTTGTAAACTTCTCATCCTCTTCCAATAATCGATACCCCAAAATAACATATTTATAAAATAACATATTTATAACATAACATATTATAACATATTTAAAATGGTATAGTATGTAGAATAAGGTATAAAACATCATACTTGGGATTGCAAACTGTTGTTGAATACTACACTACTTAGTTGCTCAATAACCGTCCAACTATATCATTCCTAGATGTTTTTTAAATGAGATTTATGACCTTTACACCATATACTCACCATTAACCACCAGTGTGACTTTGTGTTTATGCCATGAATTCAAAACAATATATTTAGAAACTAAAACAGCCTTTATTCCAGTATTTCCACAGTCCACTCTTGCATGGTGCTGCAGTGCTGGTTTAGCGTAGAATGTGGAAATGTGTAAACAGTTGATTGGTCCACAACAAATGTAGTCTTATTACTGGCAATCTGAAAATGTTTCTGAGGTTTCAGAAGCCCATTATGCAGACACAGTATGCCACTTGATGACAGGTGAAAAACAGAACTTTTCTGCATCAGAGTTGGAAACATTAAGCGCCTGAATCCCTGAAAAAAGTAACAAGTGCTAAGGTCACGATTGGGGTAAGATGTGGGTGAGTTATTTGTGGCTGTTCACCAACAGCGTTTTGTTGTTTAAGTACTTTGTTTTGTGCGCAGAAATTAGGAATCAAGCGTATGCTTTTCCGAAATGTGGCTATTGCGTAAAAGTAGGGCTCCGTTTTATTCAAAGTGAAGTCAATGAATACCAGGTAGGCTGGGTCTTTATGGAGGGTTGACGATACAGTTGATGATTGTCTTGTTTCACAACCTCTGGGTTAATGACAAACTAAAGAAGGCCACCCCTGGCTCAGCTTACTCAAAAAGCAAATAGAAGAACTATTATGACTAAAAGTTTACTTGGCTACAAATGTATTTCAAATATGATTAAAATACCTTATTCAGACAGCAAACTATATTTGGTAGGTAAAAGGTTATTCTTCTTGTTTATGAAAACTTCTGTACAGTTTAGCCTCATTAGAGGAATGCTGACTCAACCTTCGTCACGCCAGAACCAATCCTGTGCCACTTGAAATCAACATTGACAAGTATGTGTGAGGTAAACTAAACAGACTTAGAGGAAACATGGCTGCATACGTTTTCCTCTGGGGGGAAAAGGTATCTTAGTATATCGGGGGCAATCGGACTTCTCATCACAGTGCGAAACAATGTTTTAATCTTTTCAGAAGGATAGCATTGACCTTACTGCCTCTATGCTTGACACTTTAATGTCAAAATAAGAATAACAGTGTGTACAGTCTTGTGTTTTCTCACTCTGCTCTGCACATTGTCATATAAATGCTCTGTGACACGTTTTAAACACTAAACGGCTTAATTGTTTCACCTCAGAGTTTTAAAAGTATGCGAAAGGTTGTTTGTCACCCTCTCTGTCCTACACTCATTTGTTCCCCACGTCTCCTGAACTTTAGTTGTCCTCTCCCACTCCCTCTGTCTTTTGTGTGTGGAGCAGTGGGGTTAGGGATCATGATGGATTAGTGAGACATAATGCAGCTGCAAGGGCTCTTTCTCTAAGGGCTAATGCACCCACAATGGTATGCTGATGTCTTCAAGAAAAATCTTACCAACAAGTGTTTTTGAAAAAAAAAAAAAAAGATTTGCAATATGACATGTTTTAAATTCATGCCTGAAAATGACAGTGAAAAATGAACATCTTTCCGGAGGTCCCAGCTACTAGAGAGATGGTGTGGCGGTTCCAAGGAATTAACTTGTGCAATATTGGAGCTCAAAATGCTCAAAGGTAAAAAAAAAAACCCTATTACAAGAATGGTTGTTTTATGTAAAAGCTGCTTGTGGAACAACACAGTTACAATAAATCACTTTATAGCATTGATGTGGACTCTACCTGCAGCTCACTGGTTGTTTAGGTTTGGCTTCTGTAATGGAAACAGCCATGTCACAGAAAAACAGACGGGGGACAAGAAGAGGGCCTTCAGCCAGGAACAAAGCAAATAATTCATTTTAGGGTAGGTTGTTTACCTGTGTCTGACATAGTTTTTATGTGTAATCTACTTTAAGGGTGCAAGAGAGTGTTATTAAAGCTTATACATCGGTTATGTTTGGTCCACTCATAGAATGAGGACTTTTAAGGGGTGGGTAAGGGGCTGAAGGGCTGGCGTCAGGGGTCTTGCACTCCACTGGTGAAACTTGCAGGCTTCACCACTGGTGCTCTCAATCCATTTCTACAGAATGATACTTTTGTTCTTGGTCAGTAGAGGTGAAAGGAGCTAGGCGGTAGTCCCCAGTGCAGTGCAGGGTGGACTGTGAATGGAAGAATATTATTGTTTCTACCTTGTCACACTCTTTCAAGTTGTCTCACTCGGTAAAATTAACTTTTTTTTTTTCTGAAAAGGTCTACAGTGATAAAAATCTTCCTATTTGAGTAGATTAATATTATACTTTGATTTAAAATAGAACAACAAGGGTCTCCTGCTTAAAACCCCACCTGTCTCTAAGCTTAGGGAGAAATGGAAAGGAGAAGATCAGGGTATCCTGGCTGGTGGGAGTGACAGACACTCAGCTGCACAACGCAGATGTAAGACAAGGACCCCCCACTGGACAATTAAATGATCCTGGTTTCTAACCTTTTCTGATCCTGCAATAGTGAGGATTGCAGTCTTTTATAGCTGCAAGGCCTCGGTGCATGATTTGACTCTGATGTGTTCACAACTTCTGTGGCAGCAGCCAGTTGCCTTTTGTGTGAGCCTGAGTTAAGATTTTGTCACTTAATTGGCCGGTGTTCCAAGCTGGGCTGATCCGAGTCAGGCCAATGGCCGATTACTGGCCACAGATTGGCCGGAGTGTCACATTTGATAAGAGACTCTTTCCTATGAGTCCCGCCTATTTTGAAAATATGACAACAAAAATCTGATTTTGTATTTCTGTGATTATCAGTGTTGCAAATGCCTAATAAATGAACCGATGCCGTAGTGCAACGCTGAGGTTCTGTCATGTCATTATCACAGTGTCCTTCATTGTGGTCCCGTGCTTTTGCTGCATGCAAATTACGTCACAAGCCGATCGGCCCATCTTTGTGTGACATCATTTGTAATAGAAAACCACATAAATGTTCACGTTTTTGTGGTTTTCTATTCTATCGAGTTGTGGCAAAGCTGGGTAGAACTAATGGGAAACCTCCATTAGTGGCCAATAAACGTGCACATGATGTTGGAAGGCCAAATGGTCTTGATTTGATTTAGCATTCATGGAACTCTGTATGCTGGTGGCAATTTTTTTGCACCCGCTTTGGTCTTTTTAGCTTGTCCAGACTACACTTGTCCTCCACTTTTCTGGTTATTGTGACATTTTTAATACAGTAAAGAGCAACTTATCCCTGGCAGTTAGCTCCAGGCATTCAGAGCAGTCCTGTCCTTTGTCTGACATAACTTCTGACAAGCCGTGCTTCTGCTTGGCTGCAGCTCTTTGGAGCATTGACTCTGCAGAGTACGTTCACGGAGTGCCAGCGTGCAGTAAAATGGTTCAGCCTGTCTTTTCATTCTGCTGCTTTCTAGCCATCTGCACTTCATAAACGGTTGGTTAATAAAAAGCTTTCAGTTAATGATCTTCTGTCATTCATTAATTTCAGTTCTTGACATTTATTCCTGTAAAGAAAATGGACATTAATAGGATAAATACGGTAAAATTATGGATATAAATCTTCGGCTAGACCTTAGTGTTATCTGTTGGCCCTTGCTACTTCAGGCTCTCAGTCATAACTGCATACGGGTATATTTTACATTAGCCTGCAGTCAGTTCAAAAGAAGAAATCCCAATAAAATGCCTGTCTTTTCAACTGGTTAGTCTAAAACTTCAATGCTCTTCTAGCTAGGTGTAACATTCTGACTGAGAATAAAAAACAAATGCAGGAAAGATGGATGTTCATTTACAACCGTAATGCTATAAATTGTTGTTTTTTGTTTTGTTTTTCTTTCGTGCTCTTTTACAGAAACAAGTTAAAACATTTTTTTTTGTTATAATACTGACCAACTGAATTTAGAAAATGTCTAAACATATAATTGGTCTGGTTTCTATTCGGTCTTAACGCTCAAAACGTTGATAGAGGAGCAAGGATAGGAGGAGAGTTATATTTGATATATAAGAAATGAGATTTTCATTGATTCTTCAATCAGCTGGTGGCGGCTCACCACTTTGTACCAAATTGCAAACTGAATTGGTTTGACATAGTTGACATATTTGATTTAAAAAGCAGTATTTCTCAATGCAGAATTGTTGAAAACCCAACATCTCTACATTATATCATTTAATTCCCTTTTTTGGGACAAAAATGATATCTTAATTTATGTTCCAAAGATGGTCTGTTTGTTCCTCTGGTGATGTATGATTACTTTTTAATGCTGGGGTGTATATTGTTAATGTTTCAGAGACTGCTTTCAGCACAAATAAATTCTCCATGGCGTTTGATCCGGCCAAATACCATAAATGTGTTTGCTTCACGTCTGCAACAATCAGTTCAACATGTTATTAGTGACAAAGATCCTACCAACAGTCCATGTTAGAGTCACAGGCATAAAAATCTGAGAATTTTTTCCAGTTTTGCGTGTGGTCTGAGCTATTCTTTGTATTCTTTCTCATACCATGATGATGTGCTCAAAGGATTATTAAGTACCTCTGATCTTGAAAAGAGGCAGATCCTGACAAAGTCAGGGGAAGGAGTCAAGTGGATAAGTCCACACCCTAAAATCTTCATGGAAAGAGCTGTAAATAGAAGAAAAGGGAGATTCTGTCTTGCCTGTGTTTTATTTTGACCAGAGCATGTCACAGGGCTCTCATTAAGACCTCAAGACTTGTGAAAATTTTTCATGTCACCTTAAGAGTACAACCCTCTTTTCTTAGCATTGCACCCATCCCCAGCAAACAACAGCACTTGTCTGTAATACAGTTAAAATTTAGGTCAAATACAATTACCTGTAGCGTTATCTCACCAGTCTGATTTTGACATCAAACGCTTCAGGTCTTTAACAACTTTGTTTCATTTTTTTTAAATCGCAGAATATGTATTCATCACTTTACAGCAAAGAATAATTTTTATATATGCTTTGAATTGTTGGAGTTATTTCATTAGAGTTTTAGATTTACAACTGTCAGACCAAAAGATAGTTATGACCATTTTCCAGTGGCGTGTTGGTTTTGGCCTCTCTGCCACAAAGCCTTGATTTGTGAAGTGCCGGACTGCCTGTCCATCTGGTGAAACCTCCTGTGGGAGTTGGTGAACTGTGGTTCTTTAGTTTATGACCTCCAAGACAGGCTTGCCCTGGTTCACAGTTCTTTTTCTTTTAAAGAAAACCAATTCAAGGAAGAATACAAAGTATCTTTTTAACCATTGTTTTTTTTCCTGTTTATAGACCTATTGCCCCCTTGGAAGCACAGTTTCAAACCTGCTTATGAATTGCTCAATAAAGGTGACCGTAAAAAGAGATAACATTGTTTAAACAGTCTCATCCTGAAGTTATCTTCTGTAAGTATGTAGTAACATTCAAGTTCTTTGTGATATGGAGTTGTTTTCGGTAAGGCAGGTACTAAAAACACCGCTTGCCTCCTTATCTTACATGCAAACGGCTAAGTGCTCGTTCAAGTCGATAAGAGTGCATTTTAAACAAAAAACACTAAAAGCAGAATTTCAGCTCGTAGCTGCTTTTGTGTTCTACTGCTGGCAACATGTTTTGTACGTAATATTTTGACATTGATATTTTTCCGTTTGCAGCCACACTTTGAATTATGTGTTTAACAGAAGTGTGCCTTAGTTGTGTCCTCCCCAAACGATAATTTTGCTCTGTGTTAAAATAAAACTAAATATAACACAACATAGGAATTTACAGATATCTGTTTGTTGAAGCATTGGGGCTTGTCACCATTTGTCACAGCTGCATTTTCAGTGTCCTCTTCAATCAGTCTTAGCAGGGACAGGCCAGGACCTTGATGAGTATAGCAGCCAGATACAGAGGGAAGGAGGAAGTGTGATAAAGTCATTCAGGCCTCCATCACTCCCCAGCCTTGCATGTGGTGCAGAGCAGTCAACAGTCTGTGGAGGATTTAGTGAAACAGTTTAAAATGTGGTTAGGGATTCATCCATCCATCTGCCCAGCAGTGGCTGCAGAACACCAGCTGAGATGCTGTCAGCAGAGAAAATAAATATCTCAAGTGGCTTGAAGTTGATGGAAAATGTTATAACAGCGTAGTTCACCTGAATAAGCAGACGAATGGAGATGTGACAGGTTTTGTAAGGGCCCACTTTTTTAAGGCTGTGTGTGTGTGTGTGTATGCATGTGTGTGTGTGTGTGTGGTTGAGGAACGCAAATATGATCCGTGTAGGATTCTGGGGCCCACACACAAGGTCCAAGAGAGATCTGGCAGTGAAATTCAAGATGGCCAGTGGAGTAGCGAAAAAGGGAGGGAGGGGCGCAGGGGTTTCATCGTTTGGGAATCCTGTATGTTTTTTTTTTCTCTTTTTCGTTTCTTTGTGCCGTCTCTTTAGATGTGGCATCTGGGGGCCTTTTCTTTGAAGCAGTTAGTGAATTGCTAATCAAGATTAGAGATCCAGACGTGAGTTTTCCTCTGCATACAATGCGTATTTTCAGTAAACCCAGTACAGGTCCTTTGTCCCCTCTTTCACAATGGTCGTCTTCTATTTTTCTATAGCCAGCCAAAAAAAACGTCACTGTTTTCCCTCTAACAGTATAGATCAGCATTTTGAATCATCATCAGGAAATTGTAAATACATATACTTGCATTTGGTTCGGTGGGGAGGCGAATCAAGTTCTGTGTGCATATTTTACATGCTGCTACATGCCTATCTTTACTTGTTGATTTGAAAAACGGAGATCCCTGAGGCTAAATGGAGAGGCTTTTTCTTGGGCTTTCTTTTTTCCCCCAGAGTTTAGACTCACTCAGACACCGTTAAACACATACAGCTGCCATAGGGGACAGGCAATCCCAGTGCCCCATGTTTTTTTATATATACAGCTATAAACTGTTGAAATGTTTTTTGACTAATGTCACACAGAACCTTTAAGTCAAGGTTTTCCAATGGGTGCTAGTCATTGAGCTCAGTAACACTTGAACATATTAAATGTCAGATGGAAGAGAAGCATAAAAACAGATTGTTACTGAAAACTGTGAACTCTCAAATGAATTCAGAAATTTCAGTGTTTTGTTGTTGTTTTGTCCTTTCTGCAGTGACCTGAGCATGAACAACATCACAGAGCTTCCAGCATTCGTATTCAAGAACTTCCCTTATCTTGAGGAACTGTGAGTATACCCCCCTAATTTTTTTCTTTCCCTATGTCGAAGATGTATTTTTCTCTGGGGTGCATTTACATCAGGGTTGATCTTTTTGATGTGCACCTGGGTGTTTGTGCTGTAAAACACGTTATATGTGCGCAACCGGCTCTGCTTTTATATTTGAGGAAAATAGTCAAAAGGCAACAAATCACTCAGCATTCACGAATTGAGCAAGAGATGGTTCTAAAAGTTGTTTTGGAGCCAAATTAAGAAGGTGTGGTGAGATGACATGAATTGAAGCAACAACTTTGTGACATCCGGTGTGGTTTTTAGCTTTTAAGGGATTATGAGGGTAGAAACATGTACACGTGTGCACTAAGGCTCTTTACTCTTTAAACATTCCACTGTCTGGCTCGGTGCTGCTATGAGTCAAAGATGGAAATCAGTCCACCTGATATCAGGTAACATGCAACCCAGAGAATACAAAATGACCAGTTAGCGAACAGGCTCCAGCAGCTCCTCTCGGCCTTTGTGAGCATGTTTTTTCAGCTCTTGGGCATCTTTCAGTGGAGTCTTTACCCTCTTCTTTTCCCTACACCAATCCAATCGGCTTTGTTGAAAGGCAATTTAGTTTTCATCGCATTGTGGAGAGGAATGCAAAGCAGGAAGGAAGAGGACAAAACAATTGTTTCCATGGCAACAAGGCAAAAAAGACCTCAAACACACCCTCTATCTACAATTTCTGTCTTGTCTTAAACTATCAAACCTGATGGGACGTTGTTGAGGTTTCTGTTTTTGCCGAAAGCTATTTTGATTGACATAAACCCTTACCTCATTTGTGTGTTTGTTTAACCTTTTCTCGGGAAACAAATCAGGAGGCTTGTCTCAGTGAACTTTTGCGGATGACTTTTTCGCTCTGAGGCTGCAGCAGTGTCAGTGATCCAGAGCATGGGCCCACGGGGCAAAAATGGGGAGAGGAAGAGCAGAAAGAGGAGGAAATCAGGGAGAAAAAAAAGAAAGCAGACCATCCACCTACCAGGAGACAAGGGAGAAATATTCGTCTTTCTTAGTCACGCAATCTCCTCCAATGTTTTCCTTTGTTGCCAAAGGCCCAACCGCTCAACAGCCGTGATGACAGAGGTATTCTCTGGCTCTATTTGCAGTTTGTCTCTGCTCCTGAATGCTGCCTTTGATGGATTGACTCATAGATCACTGGGGTTCATCAGTGTCAGCAGCATATTAATGAAAAATTACATTTTACTCTCATTTAAATTCAAAACAATAAATGTTAATGCTGTAAATTCAATCAGTTTCTGTTGCGACGTGACTGCTCAGACTCCAGAGTCACAATCGGAAGGTTTGACCACTGGCCTTCTCTGGTTTGCATGTTGAAAAAATTAATGGACAAATGCTTTGTGAATGTCTGAGAGGCTCAATAATTGTCACAAAATTCAGTGTGTGCAATGTGTGACCTTTTTGGTTTGTAAGAATGCGCCTGCATGATATGCCAGAAACCTCTACACGAGAGAGAGGGTCAATATCTCCATGCCCTCAATACTAAATATCACTCTACTTAAATGTTGCTGTGGCTGACATATTTGATAGTGTTAACTTGCACGAGGAAGTTTCACTAATAGCTTGTCAAGCTGTTTATGAGCTTATAGTTTGTTGTTTTTTTAAAATATACATAGAAATGAATGCATGTTATAAGCAGAAGTTATTATTATTTAATTACAAAAGAGTGGAAAGATTGCTCTTCTAGTTATTCATTGTGCTGTGCTTACAAGTGATCCCATCAAGAATTTGCATTAAATCAGTAGTTCTCAAACTGTGGGGTGTTGGGGGTGGGGCAGGCTGGGGGTGAGCCATGACAATAGGTTGTGAGAACAGTGCATACACAGAGAAAAACCTCTCAGTTGACATAAATTCCTCTGTAAATAAACCCTGGAAGGGATGTGGACTGTTTGTGTAGCAGCCCACAGCAGATTTTAAGCACTAATAAAAAGCTAATATATGTATTAAACATGGTATTTTGAGCAGAATCTTGAAATAGATCATTTGTAATTACAATACAAAAAAAATCTTCCTCTTAATTTTGATTCTAGTTTAATTTTGATTAAATTGTGCTTTAAGAATGTATGTATTTATTTAGTTTAGCAGAGAATCAACAACAGGGATTGCATTCAGTTGTTTTTTTTTTGTTGATCAGCTTTTACGATATTCTTCTGTGTATAATCAGCTTCAGGGGCCTAATAGCTATCCCTAGCATAGAGACAGCCTTCTTTTTCAGTTTCACTGGCTCTTAAGATGCTGCCCTGAAAGATGGCTGCAAAGCAGATCACACCACAGACTTAGATCACCTCACTGAAAAAGATGAATGGCCTTAAAAGTGACTCTGTTTCTTTATATAATCTCAGTTTGTTGTCCAGGTGAATACTCAGGTATTTGAGGCCCTCCTCTATTTCCGCTTCCACCCTAAGGAAGAATGTTTTGCTGTATGTGTGTTTATTTTGTTACTATGCAGCCATTAAAGGGATGTTATGTATTCTGGAAGCTCTGACTTGTGAAATTACGTTTTTATGCTGTTTATCAAAACTTAGTACAGAGTTTTGTAGATTTGGTATGAGATCTATGTTGTATTAAATTTTTACCTGTTAAAGGTTTTCATGGAGCCAAATATTGTTGTTGCAATGCCATATGTGGCCTGAATGTAGCTGTCTTCATAATTATCACACACTGTAAAACTATGTTTCATAGTAAAGATTAACATTTTATGTATCGCAAGGGTTCTTGAACGTTCTTACTTTTGCTATAAAATTGACTGGCAGTGGAAAGGGTTCTAGTTCTACTACATTTATGGCCTGGCCTGCAATTAAAATACCAGTTAAAAGTCAACATAGTGGACAAGTGGCCCTCTAACACAGTCAGCCCTGACTCTCAGCCTCACACATAGCAACTGTTGTTGCTGGGAATCCAGCCTGGTTTGACTCACGTTGCAGTGATAAATCTGGTGTTAATCTCTCCAGACAGATAGTATAATTGGCCTCTATGTCCCAGTCAGTTTGTCCCATGCTTATTTACACCCTCGTTTCCTATAGACTTCCTGTTCCCAACAGGAAAGGGAGTTGGCCCCTCTGTCTTAAATAATTCATACTTAGTCTGAGGCAGCTGTCTGATCAGAAATGGTTTAACAAAAGTCTTTAACGCAGTGCTCATGTTGTCATCAGAGAGGTTATTTTTCCTTTCTTTCTATGAACCTCTCTCCAATAGTAGCACTGATATTGGGGTTGCACAGAGAAGGACCTAAGGAGGGGATAACCAGGAACAGCTCTAATCTCTTACTGGTGACGGATGAAGTGATGACAGGCTGTGGCAAAGACACATGTCTTTGACACCCTACGTCCCACTTTTCAGTTTTAGAGCTGGATCCTAAGCTACAGAGGAGCCTGCTTTTCTCAAACAGAGCATAGATTTATTCAGACATTAAATGGAGCTTGTTGGTTTGCTCCAGGTGATTGTTTTTTACTTGAGTCCTTTCTGTGTCTTCCAAACAACATTATATGTTTAATGATTAAACAGGACTTTTAAAAAGAAACAATTTCTTTCTTTCCTATCCAGACGACTTGCAGGGAATGACCTGACATCCATCCACCCTGATGCCCTGTCTGGACTCCATCAGCTCAAAGTCCTGTAAGCATACAACCTTCCAGCCAATGTCAACACACACACACGCACATGCACATTTATGGCTGTGACAATGTGATGCTTTCCACACACTATTTGTTACAGTGTGTGTTTGTGATTTTTAAATGTTTTTGTTCGCTCTTGTTGCCAATTTAGACATTCTCTTGAAATACACTTAACACTCTTTTCCGTCTCAGCTTGTATGCGACGGGTTATGGGAGAGCTCAGCCAGAGAATTGGAAAAAAAAAAATCAATGTTGATAAATGAGTCGTGTCACCAGGCAGTACATCCGATTGTACTTAGACACATCTAACGTGAAGAGAGGGCGTAAAAGTGCTTCCTTTTAGGCTGAGCAAATAGAGAACACAGGCCAGCAAGCATGAATTCATAGGAATGTTTTTTTTCTGAAATGTGAGTTTGAGCAATACAAATTAAAACAGGGGGAGATAAATCATATTGATTATGCTTAGACAAAAAAAAAACATTTAGTTTAGTGTCAGTTTTCAGAAGTAATTATTAACCCAAAAACAAAGGTTGTAATTAAATACAATACCTATGTCGTTTTGTTATCTGTTTTTTTTCTGGTGTTTGTTATGTTGAGTTTTTTTGGTGTTGTCTGTGCTCGGATCAAAAATAGTTATTTTTTTACGTTCATAATGCTATGTTGTAAAAAGACCTTTTGCCTTTTTTCAGGATGCTCCAGAATAATCAGCTTAAATCTGTACCCAGTGCTGCGCTGAAGAGCCTCCACTCTCTTCAGTCTCTGTAAGTCATCTACAACGCACATGTGTGACATCTTGAATGTTTTGGGGTAACAAAATACCAATGTTGAGTTGGCAAATTTTGCTTGTGCATTTAGGCATTTTACAATCCAATGTAGAATTTGTTTTATTTGTGCCACGCACTGGTCAGGTCCCCACAGAGGTATTAAATCAGCTCTAATAGTACTACTGCAGAACAGTTTATCTACTAATGTATGAAAAGATCTTGACGTTTGGGGCTAAGAATTTGCCTAACAAATACATGCAAAGAGGGGTCTACAAACAGCAGACGAGCTGTTAGTTTGAGGTTGTGAAGAGCAGATAAAATGCAGTGAAGTTACGCATGGAACTGATCAGACTACTTTTGCTTTGGCTGTCAAATAAGGCTCTGCTGATTCTCTCTGGCACTTGATTAAATTCCTGTGCTGTAGCGGCGTGCTATGTTGATTTTTTTTTCCCTTCCACCTCTATGTTAACTCGCACTTAGAACTTTAAGCACCCTACATTTTGTAAAGGCATTCTTGAACACTGCTGATGAATTTGTCTGACTTTTTTCCTCTTCTAAAACCATGTAGTTCAAGCATGTGTGCAGTTGTTGGATGAGTATCTTGCCAGTTTGCTAATTTGTTAACTGTTCTTTGTTGTTACTGCTAATGATCCGCCCATTCGTGTATTTTCCACACTGACTTCTGCTGTTTGTTGTGGGGCTAGCATGGAGGAATGCAGCCCTGCACACTTACACTCCATCCCATGGTCAGTTTAACCTAACATGCATATTTTTGGACTGCGGGGGTAAGCTGGAGTACTTGGAGAGAACCCATGCATAGACAGGTAGACTGGAGCTGGGAGTCTTCCTGCCTAGGCAACAGAGAAGACCATCACACCACAGTGCTTATTATGCAAATCTAATTCAACTTGATTGTCATCAACTAGGACAGTAAAGAAAAACTGCATATGCTAGCAATCATAAACAATGATTACACTTTCAAAATGACAGCACGTAGGCACTGACTTTGTGAGCTTCGGACGTTAGTATTTAGCTCAGTACTTAACGGTGTCGGTGAAACTTTGCATAACTGCCAGCGGGACAGAACTGTTCTGTTCTCTTGTGAATGTTCTAACATATAATCCAGCAAACCATGTCTCCTCGCCAACAAATGTAACTGTTAAAGATACCAGAATACGTGATTGCAGATAATCAAACATTAAAGATGCTTGTCAGTGGCAATATTTTACAGAAGAAATCCCAGTTCGTAACCATGCTGAGCATCAAACTGAAGCTGAAATCTGCTCGTAAATGTGCCATTGTTTTTACCCAAGTTCACCCTGGGAGTCATATTAAACTATTGGAGAAAGGTAGTTCAATATGTTGGAATACCTTGTTATGCTATTAATTTTTTCCAAAGTGACAGCCTTGGAATACTGCTCTTCTATTACGGTTTTTCCCCCACCGCTGTAACACCTGTGCATCAAGCCCAGCAAAAGTAAATGTAGGGGGGCTTTCCTCGTCAGATCGGTAACTAGTTTTCTCATTTTCTATTTGTTTTTGGGGTTTTCCAGGAGCTTATGTGTTTGTTTGTACATTTCATTGCCCCCACAGTTTCCTGTTTTAGTTATTCAGATATTTGATTCCCTTTTTCTGTGACCTAAAGGCCCACTTAGTGTTATTTGTGCCGCCCCCTTACACCCCTGTGACTCTGAGCCTGACAGAGACTCATGGAGGAATGGATGCAGCTGGAGAAATGTGTTGAAAATTAAACTTTCAGCCAGTCCTCCTCTGTTTAGCTCGCCTTGTCCTTTGCCTCCCCCTTTTTCTTGCTGTCCCTCTTCTGTTTTTTTAACAGATGTCCTTTCTCTGTGAAGGTTTAATGGTCTGTAGCTGAAGTGATATGCTTTGGCAGAGGAAGGACTTGGTTTGTATTAAGCCTTAGAGAGCTAAATGTCAATCAAGTTTGTTTTTCTTCCACTCAGACACTTGTGGAATTTTGAGGGAGGGTGAGACTCAGTTTGGGAGGATCATCATAGGAAACAGCATGGTGATAATAAAAAAAGGCCACTTGTTCATTCATAATGCAGGTTTAATAATGGACAAATCCTTTTAAAGGTTTTGGCAGGAAGAACTTAATGAAGATTAAAACAGAAGTGCATCTGTTTCCAATTAGGAATCTCAAAAACTAAATTCCCAGTTCTCGTTGCAGGCTTGGTTTTTCCACCCAGCTTTTTATAAATGTTCCTTGTGTTAATTGAAAAAGTTGAGTAAATTAAAGTAGTAAGAACAGTTGAATCTGTCATGCTTTTTTCCCCTACATTATTTGAAAGTTGGACACTGACTTGAGGAATGGCCCCAGTTATCAGCAGTTTCCACCATAGCTGTTTGCCATTAAAACAATTTTTGCACACCATGCTATTGGAAATTGTCATAAAGAAATATGGTCAGAGTAACGTTTTTGGTGTTATCCACCTTAGGGCATTCATTCAGGTGACAGCATTTATATTGAAACGTCACTGAAAAACGTTTTTCCGTTTTTAAACGGCACAGATTTTCTTTAGCATTCAACGCCAATTTGGAAGCTCTTAAAGTTGACCCGCTATTCCCCACAGAAATCATTTGCAGAAAAAAACATGATATTAGGTTTTGCTGTGTTTTCTGAATGTTTGGGGCTTGCCAAAACGGCAGTTAGCTGCGATTCCCACTAAAAAGTAGATGGGTTTGGTTGTGGATCTGTTAATGGAAACATGCACTGAATCAGTTTGCTTAGACAGCCTCTTGACCTTTATGTAGTGTAATGTATGAATGCAAAATATTTTAATGGTCTTGATGACAATTTCTACACACTGGAGAGATAAAACATATGGACAATGCGAAGAGTGAAACGTGTTTATAAGACTGTAATATTGCCAGTCACTATAAATATTTACAGTGACTGACAATTTCAGACTGCATTTATGAATTTGAATAAAAAAAAAAAAAACGATTTAAAAGGGTTTGTGAGACTCTAATGTCATATCTTTATACAAATTTGAAAGGTGCACAATCAGAGCTGCTCAGTATAACAAAACCCAGCATTTACGGGTATTTCAAAGGTGCTTTTGTGAGGACTGCGTTCCACTTTGTGCGGATTTTCTAGCCCTCATTAATACATCTGTTTATAGAGTATTGTCATCACAATATTCAACACTTATACTACAAATCAACCAGTTTTTCCTGAAATTGTGCAGCTGTATATACAATTTTTCTCTTTGGCTCTGTAGTCGACTGGATGCGAACCACATTGCAACGGTTCCAGATGAGAGTTTTGAAGGCCTTCAGCAACTCCGTCACCTCTGGCTGGATGACAACCACCTGACTGAAGTCCCAGTTGGTTCTTTGAGACACCAGGCTAACCTCCAGGCCCTGACGCTGGCACTCAATCGCATCATGTACATACCTGACAACTCCTTTGCAAACCTCACCAGCCTTGTTGTACTGTAAGTCTTATTGCGTTTCTGTCTCATTTTAAATAGGGAAGCTTTAATTCAGATTTGTTTTTGTTTATTTATATTATCTGCAACAAAAAGATCAAACCAGGGTATTTTTTCTGCATGTGCTCACAGGCTTAATGAACCCTGGGATTAACAGTAAATTTGCTTTGCACCACAAAAATTATGTACTTTTCCAAAGACAGAGGTAAAAAGTCTACCAGACATGCAGATTCTCTTAATTTGTTTCCTAATTCCAAGCAGGGGTGTAAAATTAAGTTTATTTGGTCTGAAGGAGCAATGTTATATTCAACCAGAACTCGTTCCGTTATGGGATGCATTACAAATCCGGGGAGTTTTCCAAACATACTTTTTTTCCTCTGTTACTGTTATACGCTTGCATAAACACACACAAACGCTCACACTCATTGAGTGGTATTGCAGCAGTTTGTGTAAACATGTCAGAATAAACAGGAAGAACTGACCTGTATCTATTAGTCGGCAGTCTACTGCAGAGATGTCTGCGCCGCGTTGAGCCGTCACGCTCCTCAAACATATGGCAGAAGCTGAAGTTAGAGTCTGGAGTGATGCAAATTATGAATTTGAAACGGGATCTTATATATGACAGGGTTTTTCAATTTCTACTTTTGAAGGCATCTGCATAACAACAGAATAAAGGAGATCGGAGACCACAGTTTTTCTGGACTGGCCAACCTGGAGACGCTGTAAGTCCACATTCATTCAGGAGTTGTTTTTTGTGTGTGTGTGTGTATATCAGTCTGTTTGGAATCATGTTTGTATGTGCCAATAGCTCCCCCACCCACCACTGCACCAGTCCTTCAGACATCATTGTGTCCACTTCCTCGTTTAATTGCTCTAGGATAAATAGAGCAAAGTACATGATGCTTATCGAATCTGCCCTCCCACTGTTCACTTCCTACTGCCACACAGCCATGAAAAATCTTTTAGTGACAGCCTTACCTAATGGCACCGAGACTTTGCAGGACCTCCTACCTGGAGAGAAACCATGCAGACACAGGGGGAACATGCAAACTCCACACAGACAGGTCCTGGTCTCCCCAGGGACTTGAACCGAGAACCCTCTTAATTTCAAGAGGATTAACCTTTGATGTTTTTCTCCAGAATGTGATTTAAAAACATGCTTGAAAAATACTTTAATAATCCCCATATTAAATTTCTGTTTTAAGAAAATACTGAGTACAGATTAATAGTCTTTTTTCATGTAGTATGTGTATATGCATTTTGTTCCATCTTGGTATGAAGATTCTAACAGAAATATTTACCCGGTAAATAGTAAATAGTGACCCCCTGTATTTTCTCTGCATTTTCTGTTGTTGATACCCGACCTAAAATTTGGGAAAAATGCACTCACTCCCTGTGTCTCTCTCTGTCCAGAGATCTTAACTTCAACAACCTGATGGCGTTTCCCAAAGCTATAGAGGCCTTGCCCAAACTGAAGGAACTGTGAGTACACAGCCTCAAAATCCAGAAACATTAAAGATCCTGGAGGATTTTCCAGAGTCAAAGTATAAATTCACATTCAGATCCGTCAGTTAAAGAGGAGACATATTTCATTAAAATGGCTATTTGTTTTTAGTTATTTGCTTGTTGGTGTTATAGTTTTGGACAAATAAATGTCTTGCGGAATACTTATACTTATATGTGAAGATTTCAATTTTTTTTTATTTTCCTGATATACATTTGGATCCTGTTTTTTATTGATTTAATTTTGCCATATATCTGAACAATATTTCCCTGAAATTCTCTCTTCCTGTAGCGGGTTTCACAGTAACGACATTGCGTCCATACCTGAAGGAGCCTTCCACAACAACCCTCTGCTACGCACCATGTAAGACCAAACGCCAATAGTGCTTGATTTCTGACAAGCTCACTCCTTTCTGATGATGGACACAGGTTTAATGTCCAGAAGATGGTGCCATACTCGCGTAGTAAGCCAATGTGTTTTTAAACGTTGCCCTTCTGCCCCCAGACATCTTTATGACAACCCTCTGTCGTATGTGGGGGCCTCAGCCTTCCAGAATCTGTCTGACCTGCACTCTCTGTAAGTCCAGCTGTCAGACACAGCTTAGGTTGCCTCTAACCTCCTCTTGTTAACAGTGTGTTTTAATGAATGTATAGGAGGTTCTATTTATGCCATTTGTTAAATGTGTTTTCAGAATGTTGCGAGGTGCCAGTATGATGCAGGACTTTCCCATCCTGACATGGACAAACAACCTTGAGAGTCTGTGAGTGAATTTGGATTCAGTATCTTCTGCTGTTTACACATCTCTCTAAAGTCACTGAGGTTTTTATGTTCTTTGTCTTTTTGTAGGACCCTGTCAGGAACTGGGATATCATCAATACCTGTAGATTTTTGTGAGGATCTCAAGTTGCTTCGGACGCTGTGAGACACTCTTCTTACCTGTTACTTAACTGTGTTTTTGATGGGCAGCAGCACCTCTGCTAATTAAGATATCTACTAGGTATTTATACTAGGCCTTCTAAATTAATGGACTGGCCTGTGCTTGTTCTGGATGCGCTGATTTAAACTTTAATCACTTTATTAATAAGTAGGTCCAGGATAACCCTGATCATTTTTGTCATACATTTCTTGCATCTGTCTACTATTTTTTCATCAAATGGATACGACCGAATAAAGAAATTAGGTGATTGTGTAAATTAGGTAAATGATTACTCTAAAACAGAGGAAAAATCATCTAATGAGACTGGGAAATGGCATATATCGGAAGAGTATACAGATTTAGGAACTGTTTTCATACTCAAAAATCCAGCTTTTTGTCCTCATGAATTCATTTTGAATTGTCCCTGTTATCCAGTTATTGAAACAAATTTTCTCCATCAGTGACCTTTCCTACAACGAGATAAAGCAGTTACCATCCCTCCAGGGCTGCATCCGGCTTCAGGAGATGTGAGTGTTGAGCATGTTTAAGCCATTTAACACATCTCTGCGGGAAAGAATGATCAAACTTAAAAGACAGATTCTTACTGAACTAAAAATGATCGTAATATGACTAACAGCTAACAAAATAATCTGAAAGATGCTTGTTTTCCATGTGCAGAAGTTTTCAGCACAACCAGATCCAGCAGATCGATGGAGACACTTTTCAGGGGTTATCTGCTCTCCGTTTGCTGTGAGTCCTTTCAGGCACAACCTTAAAAAAAAAAAAAAAAAGTTTGTATGTCTTGATTGTGAGTGTTGTTTTGTAATGCTACACAGAGACCTGAGCAGGAATGAAATCCGAGTTATCCACAGAGATGCTTTCCTCACCCTCACTGAACTCACCAACTTGTGAGTAGAAGCGGCTTTGTTTCACCACTTTTAATCAGAACAAGTACGAAACTCCCGCTGAGGCTTTTTCCTGCCCGCTGTTGTCAAACAAAACCTTTTCTGCCTCTGAATTATTTTTTTGCAGAGATCTCAGTATGAACTCTCTGACTGCTATTCCAACAACTGGACTGAATGCCGTCAGCCAGCTGAAACTTTCCGGGAACCCACAGATGAAAAGCGCGCTGAGTGCCAAAAACCTTCCAAAACTCCGGTGAGAGAACAGTTGTGGCTATCGTTGAATGTAGAAAAAAACATCTCACTTATGAGGAGCACAGCTATACAAGCATCCCAACACATAAACTGTTGATCAAACAAGTATTAGATGAAGCAGTGTATGAGATAACGCTACCAATTTATTAGACAGCTTAAGACATGTTGCATTTTTATAGGATAGGCACTACAAAATATGTCTACCAGGCTTTAGGTCTGCTACAAAATCAGTTTGGAAATCAGGCTTTTGTGATCAATTCCAATTAAATGTGAATGACTAATTTAGTTACTTAATGGTGATGGTAAAAAAAAAAATAAGTTTCAGGTGGCAGCGGTGAATAATCCTCTACATACAGCAATCTAATGTTTTAACAGGGGAATTTTTTCCTGCCGTGTATACTCACTCAGCAAATCTGTTTTTTGTTTTTTTTACTGTTTAATGAGATAAGCAGGTCTGTCTGTTTTCTGAACACTAACTACAAATATTTTTTCCAAAATCAGTCCAAAAGGCAAATATCTGTAGAAAACTATAAGGGTACATTTGGATTCTTGACCTTTAACAGCCTCTCTGAATGATCGTTTGCAGATCCATCTCTGTTCCTTACGCCTACCAGTGCTGCGCATTCGTTGGATGTGACTCAGTGACTGAAAAGGCTGACATGAAGAAGGCTACAGGTGTGAATGCTTTGCCTTGGAGCTGAGCTGTTGCTGTTATAACAAAACATTTTTTTTCGGGTTCTGATAAGTCTGTGTTATAATTACCACTTTTCAAAATGTCTCTTCACTCTAATGTGTGCGGTACTTTAGGTGGGGACGATGGGAACCGGATCTCAATGATAATGCATTGCTCTCCTACACCAGGTAAACCTTGATTTAGTTTCTGTATGTTTATAAAAATGACTAATAAAGCTTTGAAACTGCCACAGCAGTTCATTTTTCAAACACCCACGTTTTGTTTCTGTAGGAGCCTTTAAGCCATGTGAGCATCTCCTGGGCAACTGGATGATCCGTCTGACCGTGTGGTTCATCTGCCTGGTGTCGCTGGTCTTCAACAGCCTGGTGTTGGTGGTCACCTTTGCCCCCGTTCATTCAGCGGCCCGCCATTCCCACTACCCGACGCCGTCCCTGTCCCCGGCCAGGCGGCTGATTGGGCTCCTGGCCCTGGCCAACCTGCTGACGGGCGTGTACGTCGGCGTGCTGACGGTGCTCGACGCCGCCACCTGGGGCTCCTTCGCTGACTACGGCGTGTGGTGGGAGATGGGCCCCGGCTGCCAGGCCACCGGCGCTCTGGCCGTCTTCTCCTCCGAGTGGTCGGTGTTGCTGCTGTCGCTGGCGGCCGTGGAGCGCAGCGTGGCCGTGAGGAGCATTCTCGGGAAGGCCATAATGTCCCCCAGGAGGAGCAGCGGCCGCCGCAGGTGCCTGAGAGGAGACGGGCGCTTCAGCCTGGCCGCGGGGCTGCTGGGACTGCTGGCCGCTGCCGGGGCCTGCCTGCCGCTCCTGACCGCAGGGGACCAGTCCTCGTCGCCCCTCTGCCTCCCGTTTGCCGGCAGGGAGAGTCCCACCCTCACGGTGATTCTGGTGCTGCTGAATGCCCTGGCGTACCTGTTCACCGCGGCTGTGTACACCCAGCTGTACTGCCGCCTGGGCAGGGTGGAGCTCGCTGACCCGGAGCAGACGGGGGCTCTGCGACACGTAGCCTGGCTCATTTTCACCAACTGCATCTTCTTCTGCCCCGTGGCGGCGTTCTCCTTCGCCCCTCTCCTCACGGGCTCCACAGCCGGCGGCCCGGAGATCGCCAAGTCCGTGACCCTCATTTTCTTCCCGCTGCCCGCGTGCCTGAACCCTGTGCTGTACGTGTTCTTCAGCCCGGCCTTCAGAGAGGACTGGTTGAGGCTGCGTGGCTGCGTAGGCTTGACCAGGGACGCGAAGGCCGGCGCCGAGGGCCGCTGCGACGACGGGGGCGGGGGGTCGGAGCTCACAGACAGCGGCTCCTCCGCTCATCTGGGCTTTGACTGTGGCGTGTACTCGCAGCTCTGTGGAGAGCCAGTAGTGTGTGAGCAGTGTGAGGCAGCGCTGCATGCCAGGACCTGCTCCCCCCCCTCGCCCACCACAGTGTGCAGACATTTGGTGAAGTCTCACAGCTGTCCCACCCTCCTGGAGGGAGTGGCCATGTGTCCGCGGTCCGAGGGGTTTTGGGCCGACAGCAGGACGCCGTCGGCTCAGTCCGAGTACGCGGACGAGGGCGACTCCTTTGTGTCAGACAGTTCGGACCAGGTTCAGGCCTGTGGCAGAGCCTGCTTCTGCCAGAGCAGAGGCCTTCCTCTTGTACACTACTCATACAACATACCTCGTGTCAAGGACTAAAGACACACATCTCTCCGTCATGTGAATTTACCTTTTTTTCATATCAAATCAGACAACGTGCCAACTACCCTGCAAATCATGGAGCACTTACACATGTACTGACTGTTTTAACAGTGATGCAGCCAATCAGTTAAAGGGAATTTGGCTTTTTAATCTGAGAGACCAGCTCTTCAGTGAAATGAACTGAGAACATCCTGTTACAAACTGCTTTGACAAAGGATCTTGCAAAGGAAAAATCTTGCCACCGGTGCCTGCCTGCCTCTTGATTTCAGCTGAATTGATGATGGTGATGTTGATGAATGCCTAAATGTGTCAAGATTTTATTTCATTGTTGTGCTTACTCATAAGCCTGTGTGTGTATGTGTGTGTGTCTGTATGTATACTGTAGCAAATGTAATAATCACAGTAGACATTTTTATATGAATGAAAGGTTTCAGGTGGTTCCCAATAGTGTCAAATATGTATTATCTTTTACCCAACCTGCACGTTAACCCAACTCAGTTTGGGAACGGCAACTGTCAGTTTATTTAAAAACAAAAAACACAAAAAATCTTCTTTGCTCTAAGTTACTAAGACTAAGAATGTGATAAAAGTAGCAGATGTCACTGTTTTAGCAACAAACTGTGCTGGTTATGACAGATTTATTTATTGTGTGAACACGAGTGTTCAGGAGGAGACTAAGTCAGGAGCCTCTTAATGATAAGTACACAAGACAATACACACGAGCATTCACCAAAATAACACCTCTGTTTTATTGTATGAAGTCAGACAAGAACACACACGCCGGTTCAGGTTGCTCCTTTCCGTCTGTTTGAGAACTCGGGCCTCCATTGTTTCGTCTTTGCTTTTTCTGCCACGTTTGGATTTGGATCGGATTTCTCGGTCTACCTGTTCTGTTTATCTCAGCTCAAAGGTTTCTGCGTAGTCGTGTTTAAATAATTTTATCTTACAAGCCCAAGGCTCAGCAATCCGTTTGTAGAATATGGAGCACTGCCGTAAACGACGGATGCAAATTAAGTCAAATGGCCAAAAGCTGATGTGCTGCCGGCAGCTGGACGGTCAAGATCAGGACAGAGATGCTAAATCACTAAGCTGCTGAATCTTTTTGGGTCTGAAGCATACATAGAGCATACAGCAAAAAAAAGAAAACCCCCAGAAAAACCCAAACAGGAATGGAAGATCTAATATCTGCTGTTTTCTTCCACCTCATTAGGACAGAGGCCGGTCTGCATCCCAGATTATTTTTAAATTAAATCATAAATTAAATATTTTTGGCTCATGTAACGACCCAAACTCATGTGAAACACGCAAATGCATCCCACTTTCCTCTCACAGGAAGACTCCGCTGCCCGCCGAGTCCAAACGACGGCGTGCGAGTGGTGCCAAAAAGCACAGAACCAGGAGGACTGAAACGGGCCGCTCACTGTCCAAACCCCAGACATCAACCCGGCTATCCGGGGCCATGTTGATACTACCTTAACTTCCTCTCCTGCACCCGAAATCCTCACGACAGGTTAATGTCAGTGTGAAAAGTCGCTTTTATTGAGACTATCACTAAAAGAGCGCCATTATGTTGCCAGGTACAGAAAGTCAGACCCCTCCCCGTCCTGATCTCCTGACCCGAGTGTGACTGCGTGAAGGAGGCCTGACTTCTGCTTGGCACACCGGAGCATGATTGTACACATTAAGGTGGTTACACCCTCGAGCAAGTATCCACAAGTGCACGTCTTGTGAGCGCTCAGGAATTTGGGCCGTGTAGAGAAAGCTTTTTCTTCCAGCGGGACCTTGTTGTGTCTTCAGACTGCTCCCCTCTGTCCTACTGTTTGGAACCGGTTGGCTTTGCCTCAGCTAGGGGTGCACATTCATGCGTCAACCAAAAAAGAAAACGGGCGTTGATTGTTCGAGGCGTCTGGATTGGTAAATGTACACAGCTTTCGGTGGTGTGGTTGTCTTTGTGTTTTGTGTGTAAATTATTTTGACAAGGAAACGCGTAATATCAAGAATGGGATGCAAACGTAAGGAAGCTACCTCCTCCACTGTAGTGGCTGCCAGTAGTGCTTTGTCTGTCTGTCTGTCTCTTCCACCTCACTCTGTCTGTCTGCATCCTGGGCTTCATGTTCTTATATCTGGCTGTACATCATTTTAGTTTTGTGCAAATTGTGGGAGGAATCTATGTACTGTATACTGTGATTTATTATTTTTTTAATCATACCATAAACTATGAATTTCCCTTTATCTTTTATAGATACAAAGTTGCAGAATAATGCAGATTATATATATATATATATATATATATATATTTCACTTGATTTCAGTAAAAAAGTTTAATCTTATGCATATTTTTTTTTTCTTCATGTCAGGTCTCTGTCTTTATTATTTTCAAGTAGAAAATCAATTCTGTTAAATTGTGAATGAATAAAATCGTAATAACATGGCCTCTTTTGTTTAGCTCTGTCTGTTCCGGTCACAGCCTTCTTGCTGATGCATTTTTATGAACTGGAATCTGTTGTATAGTTGACTTATTTGTCCCGGGGGATTAACCAACAGAATATAGGAGCCAGTTTAAATTCCTAGAGACCACTGACGCGTACAGTCCCAACATTTGGGAGTCAAAAGAAGCTGTTGTTTCCTCCAAAAAGTGGCACTTTGTGAAGAACGTGAGGGGTGGTGAAAGGGTTATTTTTAAGCCTAAACATTTGCTAAGGTCTTGGCAGTTTTTCTTTTTTTTGTAACGTGGCCCTGGAAAGACTTTTTAAAGCAAGTTGGAAAAGAGTCATAGGGCTTTCTAAGAGACTGAAACTGCTGCTCAAAGTCCAGAGAGTCCCAAATTAAAGTGGATGACCAGTTCCCACCAGATGCTGGCAGCTCTAATTTCTCATTGTCTCATGATCCCGTCTAATTAATCCGCTATTCTGATCAGCCTCGTCTTAAATATCTGTCATCATTTGTTGCTCAAGTTGAAATGTTGGAACGCGATTCAATTTTGAATTGTTAACCATCCACTTAAATCACTTTAAATGCGTGGGACATTTTCTAAACATAGAAATGACTTCCACCGAGGGGAGATTGTGTGAACATAGTTGGAAGTAACGATCAGATGGAGAGAACTTTTCACATGTGAGGTGGTGAACCTTTCCGATTTCCAGATCTTTTAAACCCTTGAGCCCGCCTGAAGCATTATCATTCACGGCATCGCGGGGCTCGTTTGAGCGAAGTTGCACCGGCTCCCTGGAGACAAAAGCCACCGTGTTGACGAAGGTTTCCTGGGGTAGAAGGAGGCCGCAGCTTCTGCCTTCACATCAGGAACGTGCCTCACACATTGGGCATTGGTGAGGCAAACTGAGCTCTCAACAGACTCTTGCTTTCCTCTGGACCTCAGCTTTTTTAACAGATTACCCGGCTAGTGCGCCCATAAGTGAACAAAATGCATGCAAAGGAAACCAGACACTGTAATCCAACTCAAACGCTTTTAAAAGCGATCCTGCTAAATCAGTTCTTTTTCCTCCCCATATCTTCTAAACGTTACTTCCATCCAATCTTTAAAAACATCAACAGACAGTTAAAAAAAAACTGAAAGAAGCACGATTAATAATGAACCATCAGTTCAGTATGGACACAAATGTGGCAGAAATGTGGTGCAAAATGGAGTTATTGAGGGTTTTATGCTTTTATTGCTTAGTGATCGGCACAGTTTGTGATACGGACAGTTTCAGCTCATTGAGATTCAATGCATCTTCCCATCAGATGAAAGAAGCTCACTTCTTGGCATCTTTCTTGTCTTCTTTCGGTATTTGTGCTGCAAGTAGGAAATAACAAGATGTTAAGAGACCATAACATTAGGGTTTTTTTCGGATCAGCTGTACAAACCGCTCAGTTGAACGTGTTTGACTGGATAAAGGACAGAAACCTGTCATGAAGTGAAACATGAGTTTTAAAACATAAGTTTGGCTCTTCTTTTAGCTCAGTGTTGGAGATGTGCCACTTTTGGTGGTACATTGTGTCCATCAGCTATGAAAGCACTGTGGGTGCACCCGAAATATTCTGCTGCCCCAGTCAAATTTGGAAAGAGAGGTCAGAGGCCAGAGGATTTTTTTTATTGTAATCTGCATATTTGCCATGAGATGTCACTGAATGACACATCATTGGTTTAAATATTTCACGAGTACATTTTTAGACCTCCGAGCTGTAGGCAGGAGATTTTCAAGGAGCCTACATGATCTGAAAAATGCTTCTCCAGCATTTATGAAAATGTGGATTTAAGCTGGTGAGAAGCTTAAAGAGGATAAACCTGAGAGAGGAATCACTTCATGCATTAAATGCTTCACTTGACCTCATGATGCTGACCACATGCTGCTATCGTTTTGATAACGGCGCCATCTTCTTTAATACGGCGAGTTTGAGACTTGTAAATAAATTAAATGTCTTAAACAGCAGGGATCTTGAGACACTACAACGAGAACAGATACCTTTGTACCAACGTGTGAGATACTTACGACGAACTTCCAGTTTACACTCCACCACGTCCTCCCCGCTGTCGTTGACGGCTTTGCACATGTAGACCCCCCCGTCGAACGGGCAGGGCTTACGGATCTCCAGTGTGAGGACCCCCTGTTTACTGAGCATCCGGTACTTGGCTTCGTTTGAGATGTCCATTTTGTTTTTGTACCAGGTCACTTTGGGCTACGGAGAAGGAACAGAGTTTTACAGGAACTCAGATTCTACTAATTTTTCTATTGCACATGTCCAATTGTGTTCTCAAAGGGTCAGCGTTTTCTATGTTTTTTTTCAGCCCATTTAGTCTTTATGGACAGTGGATGGGGCCTATTGGGCACATGTTAAATGAAATCAGTCCCTCTATATGCTTTCATAACAGGAAACAATAGTTATCCCCTCACCTTTGGTATTCCTCGCACCGCACAGCTGAGCGTGGCACTGTATCCGGCTATGATGGAGCGGCTCACCAAAGGGTGGGTGAACTTGGGTGGCTCTGAGAAGTCATGCTCCTTGTAGGTGGGCGACTTGTACATGATTCCTGATGAGAGAGACAGACATTCGGCTCTCCACAGTTCAACCTTTTTGCATTTTAACGACCTCTGCGTTTTCCTCAGGAGAGAACCCACCTGTTTTCTGAATGTACACACTGTCCTTTGTGGTGCAGGGATCCTGACTGAGCCCCACCAGGTTAATGGAAAAGACCCGGAAGACGTACTCGTTCCCCATGATGAGGTCGGACACCACGCAGTGCGTTCGCCTGTACTGATCGTGGACTGTGTACCACTCCTGTGCACGGAACAAAAATCAGACAACCTTATGGGAAAACTCTGTTACCTATATTTCAAATGTGGCAAAGAGACATCTCCTCATCTGTGTAGTTTTGCTGAAAATCAAGTTTTTTTTAAAATTTTCAGGTATGGGATAAAGAAGAATATGGGTAGATTTAAAGTACATGTGACCGCAGTGCTTTTATAATCACACAATGTTATTTGTAACATAATCAAAATCTCAAGGTTCACTATGTTGCAATTTAAATGACTTTGATCTAATAATGACTCCAGTGAAACGTGAACCGTCCCCACTCTGGCGGGGAAACAATGACACAGCGTCAGCGCACAGGCCGTCCAGGGCTGGTCAAGGCTGAGAGGATAAGATTAGGACATTCCTGGGCAACTTAGCCCCTGGCAGCTCGAGGTGGACGAGGGTGGCAGTTGGATTTTCCAGCAGGCCCACAATGCCTTGCTGCTGGCACACGAAGGAGACGTCTACTCAGCATCGGCTAATTGTAGAATACGTGTCACGTATTGGAGGCCAAAATATTTCCCTGTACTCTCTGCCCTGTGCTTGTGAAGCATTCGTCCTAACACTGTCTCCCACATGAGCAAATACCAAAAAAGGCCATTTGAAATCCCTTTAACGTGTTAGTGGTGTGAATAGGGGGTGGGTCTATTTCTGGGGAGACAGAGCGGCAACTGTATGAAAAATAAACAGCAAATTTAACAGCTCTGTTGTTTCCAATATTAGGGTCACGGCATTCATTCTGCACTGTCCAACAAGTAGTTAAGTTCACTTGGAAAGCCTCCTCCTTCAAATCAAATGTACACGAGATCTAGTAAAGTTTTTCTTAATTTAAATCAAATAAATTACAATACTAATTTCTAGCTGTCAAAGATTTTTCAGTCTTCTTTTCCAGAGCAAGGAGCCTTACCATGGTCTTCTTGTCTGCTTTCTGGATGGTGTAACCAGTTATCTCACAGTTACCGTCGTCTTTGGGTGGTTTCCACTCGAGTGCCACGTTAAAACCCCACGTATCCACGATCTTCAAAGCTGTAGGAGGGCCTGGGAGATCTGCAGGGGACGAATATGTTTCAGTGACCAGTAACTGGTCACAGCCGTGTGTGTATTTTACCCCCGGACGTGCACCCACGAGAGGCTCTCAGTCTCGCATACCAACGATCTGCAGTATGACTTTTGATGTGTCTTCCACATTCTCGATCTGCACCTGGAGATCATACTGCCCCGAGTGCTTTCTCTCTGTTTTTCGGATGAAGAGGATCGTGTCTACTTCGCTGTTCCTCACGCTGGCAAATGTGGGGCTCAGGGGCTCCCCATCTTTGCTCCAAATGACCTTTGGCCTGGGTTTACCCTGCACATCCGAAAGGCATCGTCAGTCAGAAAATCCGACAGACATTGAAATAAATATTTGATATTTTCTAAACTAAAACTACACTAAAAAGTAGACAATGAAGGCAACAATATTTCCTGTTAATGTTTTTAATCTGATCCAGCTCATGTTAATGTGACCTATCCTGTGATTATCGCCCTGTGCTTTAGAACGATCATCCTGATAACAAGTTGAAAGGTTAGTCCACAACACCTGGAATGGAATCACAATGTTGACAGTGTCTCCAACTTTCTTCATGAGAATCTGGCGGAGATTTCTGGGGAGCCAGATTTTAGGGCGTTCTTCGCATTGAAAATACAGGGGGAAAAAAGAAGAATACCATCAGACGTACTATGAAGAGATCAGAAAAATACTGTTTTCACCTGACATGCATTTTTAGAAATCATATTAGTTCAAATATGTACTCCAGCTCTGGTTTAACAAAAGCTACAACAAGACCCGTGTTGACGCACTCATTAATGAAAACCTGCCTGTTTCTGCAAATAATTGCTGCCAGCAAGTCTTCATCGCATTGATTTTCAATCTCACGTGAGTCGTGAGATTGAAAAGAATGTGAGCAGTGTTTTGGTAATCAGGTTTTTTTTTCCCGGAAGGCTGGGTGGGAAGCCCCAGGAGCTGAGAATCGCCTCAATACTCACGCATTATCTCCCTGATGGTCACGGGCTGGGCCAGAGTGGCGGGACCGCTGGGTCCTGCCGTGTTGTAGGCCCGCACACGGAACTGCAGCCTGTCTCCGGTGGTGAGATCTTTGATGGTCATTGTTGTCCTGTCGGTCAGACCCTCCATAGCTGGTATCCACTCATCAGCTGCCACCAGAGGTCACACAGTGAATTAAAATGCAATAATAACTGACTTGTTTTCATGTAACCAATGTTAGAACTCATTAGTCTGTAATTTGTTAGACAGGGAGTTATAAAACAACATATCTATCTATCATAGCTTTTAAGAATTTGCTCATCCTGTGGGTGCTACACGTACATTTTAAAGTATCAGTTGGGGAGCTTCTTTGTAATGAACTGATTCATCGTGAGATGTGCTACAAGAGGCACTCCTTATCAAAAGAATGGAGAAGTCTGGCTCCAGTACTTACTGCCTTCCTTGCAGTACTCAACCCCATAACCCTCAAGCGTGGCAGCCCCGATTCTCTCTGGAGCCCGCCACTTCAGCGTGATGGAGGTGTCGTTGATGTCGTCTACGCACAGTCCGATGGGCTCACTTGTTGGGGCTGAGCAAAAGACAGAAGGCAGATAAATGGCCAGTGGGGTTGGTCCATTAGAGCTTTAAAGCAATAAACTCAGAATGAAAAGCTCAACAAGTAGATCAACTGGCATGGAAAGTTACAAATCCCTGAAAGTGCTTTGCAACAGTAAACAAGGTTGTCATCCTCTTACACTGAAACATAACTCCACCAGTGGAAGTCGGTTTAATTAACTCAACCTGAGAGAGTTATGTGAACACAAGTTTCTGTATACACTGAATAGTACAGACTCACTATTCCCATCCACTGTACTTAAACAAGATGTAACTTCTATGACATGACAAATAAGAATTATTGATGGAGAGTGAATGGATGTGAATGGAATATGTTCATTCTATATTGATGGACAGATGGAAATTCATCTCCAACCGAGCATCTTTGCAAAAACATGTACACACCCAGTTAGCTTTTCATGGACGGCAGTTATCAAACAGTCCTCGACCCTCTAAGACTCTGGGTGAGGAATTCTTTCATGTAGTGAAACACGAGCTGTTGGCCTGACCAGGAGCCCCGCATCGGGCTCCAGTCTCAGTGCGGCTGCGCGTTGTGTCCCGTGGAGCTAAACTGACCTGATTCCAATGCAAATGAAGACTTTGGTTCATTGGTTACATCCCACACAAAGCTCTCACTTCAGAGATGCCAAAAACAAACCAGTGTTTTAACACGTTTTGGCAGCAGTCTTTTTCCTTAAAAAAAGCCAGTTTTTAATGCAAAATCTGAAAGATGGCAGTCAGATAGATTTTTCATTGAAATTACTTGTTGCAGAGACAGTTTTGGCCTCTTACCACCAACATAACCGTAATAAACAGCATCAACTACTATCAGCAGAGATGTAAGATAATATGGTTGGAAATGAAAGGACCAAGGCCAATGACAAGTAGTTTTTTGTTTTTACTTCCGTGTTCAGTTCAAGTTCTTAATACTAATGAGGGCACACAAGTGAAAAACACTCGAAATGGAAACAAAGATGCCATCATTCCTTTGGGATAATATATAGTCAGCTGTTTATCCTTATGCGGTTGCAACACTTTGTTGACAACCTGAGGAGAGACTGAAATGTGTCAAATTTGAGTTGTCGCCTTATTGTCACGGAGGTCATTCTCCTTGTCAGAAGAAGCGGGCTAAGTATAACGTCTGAGCAAATAATAGGAGCGCCTGTCAGAGGTCAAGGTTTTCCGAGTGTGCAGAAAGGCATCTTAGGATCCTCCAGAATAAAATGCAGAGCGGGAATTCACTTATACTGGCAAAACAATGCGCGAAAAACTTTAAAGCAAGTCGGCCTGGTGTTTACTGAAGCTGGAGGGGTAACGCGTGCATGACCGAATGGATAAGCCAACATCTCAAGATAAAAACAGTGCCTACTGAAAACCGGTTGTGGCTCTGGCTCTGGCTCTGGCTCCGCGGGGGGCTCCACAGTGGGCTCCGCGGGGGGCTGCTCCGCTGGGGGTGCAGCCTCCTCCTCTGCGGGAGGGGGGGCCCCCTCTGCTGGTGCTGGGGCCTCATTATCAGCTGGAGCTCCCTCCTCTGCAGGGGGGGCTGCTTCAGGCGGTGAGGGCGTCTCCAGCTCTGGCCCGGGGGCTTCAGGCTCCGCCGGGGCCTCCGCCGGGGCAGGTTCCCCCTCTTCCGAGGCTTCCTCCGGCTTCTTCTCCTCTACCGGCTTCTTCTCCGCTGTCTTCGGGAGCTTGGGTTTCGTCATTGTTTCGGAGCGTCTCGCTGCTGATCGAATCTGGTGCTCATGTGTCTAATGTTTCCTAACCTCTGCTCTCATTCTCTCACCGTCTGCCACTTGTTCTCGTCCTGCTGGGTTTTTTTTTCTTCAGCAACAACAATGCGGCAGCCTCCGCGGTAGCAATGAACACCTCTGCATTTAGCAGCTGGCCAAAGCAGAGTCCAGAGCCTCCAGGTTATTATTTTTAGAGGTGGGATGCCATGGATAGTTTCCTGATCAGCTGTCTTATCGGTGATAGGCCATCTGGACACGGTAATGTCTCTTCCTCAATCAGCAAGACGAGGAGGACATGGCTGTTAAAACGTCTGACAGAATGAGATACAATCCAAACATCATCCCCTGAATTACAGGACACAGTGACTCTGAGCCGGGTTAAAGACTCTGACCACACACGTTATCATTCACACACTGAATGATAACCAGGAGAGCTAAACCTGTTCTGTCAGCTTGTGAGGCACCTGGTTTTACTTTAATCTTCGGTCACAGAGTGGCCACCTTAACAAATCATTAGCTGTTGAGGGATGTGACTTCTGGTAATTTGCTCGAACTTCTATTGAAGATAGCAGGAAACCATGAAGAGGAACACAACGCAGACTGCTGAGCACCACAAAATTCTGTGACTCCTTCTTTGACTCTTCCATGCAAACAGTCATGTTTTTTCTGTTATTTTCTGATGTTTTGTGACCGTCTTGTGTTGTATCTGGATCAGATCTAGAGTCTCCTGAAAAGCTGAGGTTGCTGTGTTCGGAAATGAATAAAGACCAGCATGGCCTCATATGTTTCAATCAGTGCATTCCAACTGTGGGCAAAATAGATGAGATTTTGGTTTCAGCTATGTATGAATCATTTCTGATTAAGAATCTTGAAAATATCACTTTCAGGCTAAACGGTTTTTAATGTTAATGGTGGACTGGGTCATTTGAGCTAAGAAATAGGAAGGCAAATTCTAACATTGGTTTGTCCTATGATCCACAAACGCTCTTTTCCTGTCCGTCATACAGGTGATTTAGATGCTGAATTGTTGGCAGTTTTAGTCCTCGCTAAGTCTAATGGTGCAGGGATTCGGTCACCACTTGGACCTGTGTGCTGCACTGTGTGCCAAGTGGTGACCAATTCCTGTCCAGTTCACGTGGTCTCATAACACAAAGTCCTAGTGATTGATGTGGCTTATTTGTGTGCAGCCTTATATTTTAGTGCCATTCATGATCCCAAAGAGCAAACACCCCCCCGTCCTGTCATGACCACAATTCAAACAGAGCGCATGACCTGAGCGAAACCTTACGCTGGCTAAACGAGGCGTGACCAACCTCCACAGACATCAGCAACACACATCAAACATGTCAACCCCATCCCCGCCCTCCACTACGGTCCAGACAAATCATTAGTCAACCTCTGCCTCTTTCTGCAGGGTCTAAAAAGGCATCGGTTCAGTTGGCTGAACGAAACTTCTCTGTGGTAAGAACCTCAAAAGAAGTTTCGCTCCTAAAACGAGACTTCGTCGTGATGTTTTTCAAGTGATCTGGAGCTGTGTGCGCTCCAGACTTTCTGCAGGTCCTTTGGCTTGGATCCAGGAATGATTCAAGCCTTAAAAAAGTATCCTAACTTGTAATAAAAGTGAACCGGCCGAGTGTTTTCAGATAACAGGCAAATCAGCAAAGAGCCAAATTTTAATGGAACATTTTGGCTGTTTGTGCACAAATACACTAACAGTCAAGTGTTTTCTTTTTTCCATTTCTCAAGCTGCATCTGTGAAAAATACTAATGATAACACAGTTCTACAGAGATACAAATTTGAATCAAAGAACCATTAAGTGAAGATTTGACATATGTCAGCGTGATGTGCAGTGTCACTGACACTGGAGCAAAAGCCTAAGCTGATAGAAGAAAACTCAATGAAAATGATTTACATGTTGTATAATTAAAGGCGATCATACCAACCACGTTGATTCAAGATTGACTGGAATTAGACACTTCAACTCCATCTTTAGCTTATTCATATTTTTCCTGATTTTTGTCATTGCATGAAGAAGTGAGCGATGGCTTACATTGTGGTTATGATTGAAGGGAAATGGGTGCAACGAGGTTAAAGACTCACCGACTGGCACGAATGGCTGTGAGGCGGGGCTGTGGCGGGACATGCCGATGCCGTTGACAGCATAGACCCGCATCTCGTACGGGATACCTTCGATCATGCGCTTTGCTTCGTAGGTAGTCCCAGTGAAAGGGTCAAAGTTCAGCCTCATCCACCTGTAGCTCTTCAGCTTCTTTCTCTCCAGCACATAACCTGATCATTGAAAGAGCAACGGCTTTGTCAAAGAAGGAAGTCATTTGAGAAATGCTGCTGACAAAACGGTGAGCTTTTTGACGTGTTTTTGTTTTACCAACGATTGGTTGTCCGCCGTCAAATTTAGGGGGTTCCCACTGAACAATGCAGGAATCCTCCCCAACACTGAGGACTTTTGGAGCCTGGGGAGGGTCAGGTACATCTACGGGAGGCAGTCATTATCAAAACTTAGTCTATATTTTTTTTTAAATAAAAATAAAAAGATGAACTTTTGCAAAATGGTGCTCTTTCTTACCAACAACTTTCACATTGATGTCGGCAGTGTCTTCTCCGGCAGGATTTCGCACCACAACAGAGTAGATTCCCTCGTCCTGCCTCTCGGCCCCCTCAATAGTAAAGATACAGTGGCCCTTGGTGGTTTCCACGTGGACCCTCCCATCTCCTTCAGTGATGACCTACACAGTGGTTTTTGGAAGACTTTAAACTTACTGGCAATTCTTGCTCTTATAAAAAATATGCTGCAATGGTGGAAATCACTCTGTTTGCCGGTGTTAATTTATCATATATTGAGCAAATCATGCTGTTCAATATATGTCAGTTCGAACGTACATGTCTAAAAGCCAACATACAAATAAATAGACCCGAGCTGCCATGGAGTTATATTACTAACTTCCATCGTGAACACAGATTTCTTCTTCAGTTCAAAAACAAAACCTAGATATTGGTGTTGTTTATAGAGACTCATCGAAGAAGAAATTCTTCATTAAACCTGATGTGAATTTTTTTTTCTTTTTCTCCAGAACTGTCAAGTGCAGATAGTCTATTTCTCCACAGAAATCGTATCGAGCAAGTATTGTGAGTGATTTTTATCAGTAAAGGATGTAAATGAATTGAACACAACTTTTTAAAATTCTTTAGTCGGTCATATGAAACACATTTCCTGATCCTGGTCCTTTGGCCTCCCTGCTCTTTTGAATCCTCTGCTCCAGTGTGCCTGATTCAAATAAATTATATTCACGCTTCTTCAAACTGTGCAGATGCCTAAAAACAAGCCACTCATTTGAATCAGGTGCTGAGGCAGGGAAACGTTTAAATATGCAGGTTATGCTGGTAATTCACTTACTGCCCGCTGTTGTTTGATCTGAGAGAAGCTTTAGAACATGCACTTACCTTACTGCATGCATTTGGACAGATGCATGGATGGATGGACGGATGGACGGACACTGTACTGCATGCATTTTTGAGTGCTCAATTCCTGTTGCATGAAACTGACCCATAAGAGGAAAGACAAAACTGTGAAGAGTAGGTGATGGAGAGGGTGCTTTGTGTGTCATGTATAAACTTGTTTTGAGTTGTTCCTGCTATTTTGTAATTCTTCTTTTCATCTCTGCAAGAGCAAAGCAGCACAAGACAACCTATTGGGCAATAATGTGATAACAGGATGCTTTCAAAACCCTAGCGCTGTTACAATTGTCCGTCTAAATGACGCCTCTCCACCAGCTACATTTTAAACATCCAGTGTGTGACTAGTGTGCCATCAGCAACCCGTTTTCCAAAAAAGGTTTCTTTGCAAATCAGTTGAACCACACATTTATCTTATCTGAAAATAGGGTAAAAACAACAAATCAATTAGCAGACTATTTTCATTTTTGTTGCTCGTCCTGAAAATAATACTGGCAGAGGCGAGAAGTTTGAAATTGTGCAGGAACCAGAGAATTTTAAAAAAGGAGGAATTTGAGTAAAGATGCCTGGAGGAAGTATAGTGAAAACAGGGGCCATTAAAATGGTATGAGACTACTAGTCAGGTAAAATTGTAAAAAAGATAATAAAAAAAAATGCTTTCCTTGACCTCAATGAAAAAATTAATTATGGTTCATGAGCAGTGTTGAGAAGCATTCTGCAGTTTGCAGCTCTTAAACGAAAGAATAGCCCTCACCAAATGTTTGGATACCTAAACTAAGCTATGCTAGCCTTGTTTTTATACAAAGGTTATCTTGTACCTGTCTTTTAAAGATAGCAAAAAGTACATTACTATTTTGAAGAGATTAGCTTACTGACCGTGCCCAGCACCCATTATGGGCATGTGTCTGTCCCTCGAATGGCCCGCAGGTTTATAGATGTTTCCCTGATTCAAATCACTGCACCATCGGTAGATTTATGAAGAACTTCGTTTTAAGAGATCTATTCAGTCTAAATCAGGTGTGCACAGTGGCCCTCGAGAACGGGACTTTGAGATCCGATGCGTAGACAGTATTTCTGTGATACATACACCAGATGCCCTAATGTTGTTCAGCTGCATGACGAGCAAATAGACCCACCTCCCTCATACGATCAACCAAACAAGGTCACCGACTCTGCTGTGAGCATTTGATCTAAGTCTGTACATTAACCCTTTTCAAAATGGCCGCCTGTCATTTTACTTCTCTCTATGGCTCTGTTATCTCGTCAGCGAGTAATGACACAATAAACCTTGATCTCTTTGACAGACGCTGGCTTTCTGAAGTAACTTAACTTCAAATTGGAAGGAATATTTCCTCCATTTAGGAGGAAGCGCCCCCCCCCTCACCACCTGTCATCACCTCTTGCAGGCTCATGCAAGATAATTGGCAGCAGGTGAGTAACATGGCTGAGTAGAAAAACAGCCCCTGGAAGGGGCAGGCCCCTCTCAGAAGGAAAACTTTGGATGGGCTCACACAGGGAAGGAGCTTTTTATGAATGTTTCTCAAAACAAAGCTGAATTTAGTTTCATCGGCGAATTCAGTAAAGCAGATAAGGGATGAGGCTGAATGAGCTTTTAATGGTGCTCAGGGGAGTATGTGGTTAAAAAAACTTATAAGTTCTGGTCTAGAAATGATTGCTTTTAAAATGCATTGAAAGTAAATAGGTTGTAGAGTCAATAAAAGAAAATATAATAGAACTTCGTTCCCAAGAAATCTTCAGCTTTGTTTTAAAAATAGAGCTGATTGTTGGAAAATCAGTTCTCTTCTTTGTATCGAACGCTTGAGAGATTCAAGGCTTTAATCAGGACGTGTTTAACTGATTTACAAATAATTGCATTCTGATTTTATTATACTTTTACACAGCACCCCTTACTTTTTTGGAAACCGGGTTGCACTCTTTAAGATTCCAAGGGACTTACTTAAAAGTTTAAATGTGAAACGGTAACAATGACTTGGCACAAACTGCAAACAGGCATGTACTGACTTACGAACACTTACTTCTCCATCCTTCATGGTCCAAGAGGTTGCGTGCCCTCCTTTATCTTCTCCGTCAGGACTTACAGAACTAGCCTACATTCGAGGAGATCAAAGCAGTAAAAGCCGAGGAGAGCAGAGAGGGCGGGTAACCTCTCTGCCTGCTCAATCATTTAAGCTTTTAGTAGCACTATGATTATTCAGCTCGTTGAAAACAATCAAAGCAGGGAGGACTGCATTAGTTTGCCTGTCACCGCAGCTTACCTGCTGAATAACTACTTCCAGCCTTAAAGATTAGTTCATTGAATTCTAAAAAGCATCTCAGCCACTTATAGGAAAACTGTTTTTGCACATTATTCAAACAAGCCGCTTTATTTAAAAGTCTGAAACTGCATTATTAGTCACGCTTACAAATTGAACTGGACGGTCTGGCTTCTCAGCTGGCCCCAACCTGTCAGACCTTACCTACTCTCTCTGGACAGATGATACCTGCCAGCAGATAAAACGATGCAGGTCCTCAGAGGTGTTTTACCTTCTCTCCTTTGGTCCAGATCACCGTGGGGGCTGGATCTCCGGTTATTGGGACGTCCAGACGCAGTTTGTTTCCAGCCACCACAACGATGGTCGAATCAGAAGTGCGACCCATACAGTCCAGGTGGATCTTTGGAGGATCTTGGACAGGCAATGAAAATAGTTCTAAGAATGGCTCAAAAGGGGTTGTATATAACTACTTTATTTGTTTCTAATTTCTTTTTTACCTTGGCGTGGCACATAGTCAATCTTCACCTCTGGAAAATCAAGAAAAAAGTCAGATATCAAATTATTGAAACCGTTCACTGCTGAGGTTCAGATGATGTTCGTTTAGATGTTGCAGGAGCAAAAACAACATTACCCAAGAAATTGAGTTTTGCAGAAAGGTTGAAAGCGTGGCCATCTGGCACAAAAGTGTAGTCTCCCTCATCCTCTGGTTTCACTTCATCAATGGTCAGTTTGTGGATTCTACACATTTAAAGGTTTAGCTCAGGGTGAAAGGGGATGTGTGCTGCGTGTGATACATGTGTACCAGGCACCATATTGTGGGGCCTTACCTGCCAATATGGGAGATATTTACTCTTGCGTCAGGCTTAACCTCTACACCATTTTTGTACCAGGTTCCTCTCACGTTCTCATCCGACACCTCACACTTGAATACCGCCTGGTCTTTTGCTTTCACTGTGAGGTCTGCAATGCTCTGGTAGACCTCCAGGTCTTTCTCTGCAGAATTGGGAAAAAACCTCAGACGTCAAAGGATCAAGGTCTTCACACACTTATGCAACGAGATGGCTATATGTAAGGATAGAAATACTTTTAAAAAATATTCATAGAGCTGCTGTACACATGGACAGCATGGTAACAATGGACTGGTGTGCGGCTTTTCTTTGAATGCTGTATCTTAGCAACAGGCATAAGAGGAAGTTAGATGGATTCATAATGGGGGTTGAAAATGGAGAGCAGAAAGCTCAGGTTATTATATATCACATGAAAAAATGTACTTGGTTTTATTAAAGAGGCAGAAAGAATTGACTTGGGCGAGATAACTCATCACACTCCTGCAAAGGTTACCGGAGTTTCACGTCTGCTCACTGGAGAGGGGGAGAAATATGGCGGGAATGGCATTATAATGGGAGCTCTGCAGTGGACTGAGGTGTTGATCCCTGCTGCACAGTGGCAGCTGGTAATTCCTGGCAAGCTCGGCCTTCCATTATCAGCCCAGATAAGCTTCATCAGACTGAGAGCCCAAATTCATATCTGGTTTAAATCTTTACACAAATGTTAACCAAACTGCAGCTTTTATAAGAAAACTAAAAAAAGAAGCACTGGTAAATGTCATGTCCTGACTTTCTTTTTTTGTATAGAATAGGCAGCTCTGATATGAGCCAAATCCATCATTTTTAGAGCATCTGCAGATTGAAATTAAAAAGAACTAAATCTACCACTACCACACATGTTCCTCACACCATGGCTCTTTACTTATTCTACAAAACTCTTGTTTTAGATATGGACTGTAGAGAGAATGGATAGAAGAAGATGCTTTGGACTGTTTAAAAGTCTGGAAGAAAACATGTCCACAGTTGGGACGAGTGTTTGGGGTTTTGTCAAAAGCCTTTCCTAAAGTAAAGAAAATAGAACCAAATATATTTAACAGTAACAACTTGTAGATTTACAGTTGAGGCGAGGAGTTAAAAAATCATTAGACTGTTTTGATTAGTTGTAAGGGTAATATTAAAGCCGGCATCTGATCGAAACACATTTGTACCAGCGGTGCTTTCAGTCTTCACTGTGGGTGAGAGTCAGAAGATGTTCAGATGAAGTTCATCATTTTGTTGTGTGTGTCAAAGAAAAACAAAGAAAAGTGAGCAAGCCAAGGCCATTTGTGTGGACCCGTGCCCTTTATGTGAAATGTACATCTTCTAACTTTAGCTGACGTGTCGTCGCTGTTGCTGTCTTGGCAGGATGATGTGAGCTATACAAAGACAGACAGCATGCCAAGAATGGCAAAGCTGCACGGCTAGCTATTGGTAGACCATGAGAATGTGTGCTCGGAGAATTCATTGCCGACAAAACGGCCGACCTCCACTCACCCTGCACCAGGAGCTCGGCCATGGACTCGCCGCCATTGGTTTTGACCTTGTAGTGGCCACAGTCTTCTTTGGTGGCCTCGTTTATGATCAGCACATGCTTGCAGCCGTCCTTCTTGAAGCGATATTTGAAAGACTCGTCTCTGGTCAGTTCCACTCCGTCTTTCTCCCTTTTTTGCACGGAAAAAGCAAACAGAAAAAAAACACATCAGCCACAATCACTAAGGCCAACACTGCCCACCGCTCAGAGCAGCGTTTGAACTCATGCGATGCAGATTTACGTTCTTTACTTGTATAATCAAAAAGGTTTAATGGCCTAACAATTTGACCTCTGAACTTAGAAAATAAACAAATTAAAATCGAAAGTCTTGTTCACCTCTGACAATAAAAATGATTTAAAGGACATTCAGTTCAGAGGGTTTTTAAAGCCATTTTTAGATATTTTTTGTAGTTGCCCATACAACCAAAAAGAAATGTAAAGTTTACAACAAAAAATGACAAGTGACATCGACCTCAGATGGAATACCATGTCTGTTAGCATGAAGTATGTGAACATGTAGCTAATTTAGGGGTTAAAGTGAAGTTATCTTTTAAATCAATGGTGCCACCAAAAGGTTTAGAGGGGCAGGTGCTCTGTCAGTGAAAGTCCGGTCCACACAGCAGTCAGTCACTTAAGGTATGAGGTCATAAAGTTAAAAAAATCACCAGTAAAACATTGTTTTCATCAGTCAGACAGGCAGCAAGCCAAGAAACCTATGTAGCAAATTACTCCAAAGGAAAGCGGCTGAATGCTGAAAGCTCACATGGATGTGGCAGAATCAAGGTTTGGGGATGTTTTGATGAATCAGAGGAAGAAGGAATTCAGAATTGTATTAGTTATTCAATTTGTTTGTGAAATTAATCTAAAAGGTTTTTGGTTTGGCTAGGTTTTAGTTTTAAGGCATCCACACATAACATAAGCAAAAGTTAAGTCTTGCCCAGTGTTAACTTAGTAACTGTTTTTAAGTGTGAGGAAGTTCCTATGATGTTTTAGGGTATTTCTTACAGAAACACAGAAACATCTGAGGTGTTAGAACCCCCTTTGAACGTCACTGTGTTTTTAAAAAGAAAAAGGACACTGTATTTAAATAACCTGTGTGCATTTGCAGGAACTTTCTCCCTCACATAAAGGTCACTTGTGATATAGTAGCATTCTCATGTGACATTTTCATCTCGGATAATTTATAACTTCAACTGCACCTCAGAGGCTCAGAGCTCAAGCATCTGCGTGCAGACGTGACAATCTCAAATGCCATCTGCTGGGTGTCTGAGCAACTGTTTACAGTGAGTGAAAAATTGGAAGGCACTGTAATGACATCATCAAATCTTATGTACAGGCAGTTGTACAGCTTGTACGTCTTCTCTTGGATCACAGATTTTATTAATCAGTTCTTTTTTTAAACTTGTTTAGAAAGAGGATCATTTGACAGTTGGAACTCAGTCCAGAGTTATTTGGTGCTGCAAAGGGTGGGCGTTTACGTTTTACGTAACCTGGCAACTAATTCCTGAGTCAAAAGGATCTCACCATTTAACACTCGCTCCTTCCTCGGACACTTCACACTCTAACTCCACCCGCTCGCCCTTCATCACCATTTGATCCTCCAGATTTTTTACAACGGTCACAGGAGGCTCTGCGGGAAAACAGAGAAAATGGGAATCAAAAACTGTGAGCGTGCTCTCAATGTCTCAGAACTTTTAAACAAATAGTACCTTTGACAAAGAGCTCAGTGGTGGACTTCTCCTCTCCGATCACGCACGTATACGCTGCATCATCCGCCAAGGAGCAGTGGTTGATGGTCAGGTAGCGCATGTTTCCCACACTCTCAAATATGTACCTAGACAAAGAGCATGAGGATGTTCACACCATCAACGCACCACTTCCCTTTTTGCAGATACCAAATCTCTCACTGAGCATTTCTCTTGGAAACGTAGAGGCCGTCATAACCAAGTTAAAAGTAAATGCTTGTGTCTAATTTCAAAAGACTTACTTGCTAGGGATTTAAAGACGAGGCAGGGATGTCGGCCAGAGGTTAGAGAATGAAAAGGTAAAAACAGTCATGATTAAGAGTTACCAGTTCAAGAAACAACTGCAAAGAGAAATGTTTTGTAGATTCAAGGTGATTTCAAACCTTCCAGCCTTTTGGATCTCTTGTCCGTTCTTCAGCCACTTCACCTCCACATCTTCATTTGCAACCTCAACTGCAAGTTTTATCTTATGTCCCTTTGATACTTGGTAGGCCGGGTCCAACTTCTTGCGGAAAGCTGAGTTTCAGAGCATAAACAAAACACGAGTGTCTTTCTTCAACACTGAATTAAGCCATGGATGGATAAGCCAATGATGTCTGTCACAAGCTCAGCCGCCCAACCTTCACTTTTCTTTTCGTCTTTCTTCATTTTCTTCAGTCTCTTGAGCATCCCCCTCAGATCGGTGATGCCATACTGGAAAGCAATCTTTTCGTATTCTGTAGCCGGAGCATGGCTGAGGATGTCCCAGACATCCAGATCAGGCTCAGTGTTCACATGAACAGCTCTGCATTAAAACAGCAAAACAACAATGGTGTCAAAACCCAGGTGGAAAGATCAAAACCTACCATCTGTCTCTATTTTTAACACTTTCATCACAACTGACAGATTCTCTTTGTGTACCAGACATCTTGCCGACAAAACTACAAACTTTTATGACACTGAGCATCTTGTTAAATACAATAAAAACAAATACAATACAAAGAAATCAACAAAATTAGTTAAACAACTAACTAAATACGTTATCTTAATTTTTTGCACACTTTACGAGTAATTGTTTTTTAAACATGCTTAATTGGTTACATTTGATGATAGAAGTGTGTTAATTAGCATTAATGATGCATTTTCTGTTCATTATTTGAAATGCATCTATTCTCATAACCTTAATAGTGTATTTTTACGAACACCTTGATAAATCTTTGGTGGTTCCTCTTTTGTTGCAGATCTAAAGTGGGCTCAAACTGAAATCTGTCTCACAACTGCTTGATGTGGTGTCCATCAAAACCACAGAAGAAGAAGCTTGCTCTGGACTAGGGTAAGTTACAAGAGATAGGCTTTCAAATAAGCCTCAATCTGCTCATAATCGTGGCTCTGGATGAACCTTTTAGGACATTTTTATGACATTGGTATAGTCAGACCTATGCGACCACTTCCTGTCTGGTTACAGAATCTGAAACAGATTTCTGCCATTGCGATCCCAAATCTGTTAGTTCAAATATAATTTGTGTTACTGTTATAATATACATGAAAGAAAAGGGTGAAATCTGAAGTTTGTCACAATTGATAAACAGCCAGGCAATTTTGTGAGAAAAGACATGAACCATAATCTTTAGTACATTGTTGTCATACAGGTTTTCCTGTGGCACCATGGCCATGTGTTGGCAGTTCCTTACCGATTAGAGGGTTTACAGACACTGCTGCTCATTCAGAGGTAGAATCCGAGAGAAGAGGACGGCAAAGCAAACCACACCAGTAAAAACACAGCAATGCAAAAGCAGCACCATCAAGACATCAAAAATACATCAGAAATATGCGTTACAAACAGTCCTCAAAACAGAGAGCAAACTCCGCTGAGGGTCAGCTTCTCACACATTAGAAAGGCCAACCAGGAAAAGAACACAAGCCAAAATAATTCACGCAGTTTTCTTGTGATCATGTGATAGTTTCTGCTGATTGTGAACTATGGAGAGGAGGTCACAATGAGATATTATGTTGGGATTGATGGCTTTGAAAAGATGAATAACAAAGCACAGAGAGACTTTGTGCATGCACTAAACATTAAACTGGTAGAAAATAAAATGGTTTGGTCTGACTTGTTGTAGACTGATCTTCAAGCCACATGATTGAACGTTATATTAAAGGGCACAGCGTTTAGTAGTGAGACGAACAGGTAGTGAGAGGATTTGCAAGGCTCCTCAAATCAGGGATGTCACATGTGAAGATGTTCTGAAAGGGTAATAAATGGTTTTATCACTGACGAACGGCTGGTGAAATCATGCAAATGAACTGATGGATCTTCCCAACATGTCACTGCGCATTAGCAGTCTGTGAACATGCAACAGAATGTCTGCATTCATGACTTTTAGTTTAAAAACCTGGAGGTAGCTTACTCTCTGAAAAGATGGAAAAGATCAGAAAGAAGAGACATATTTAGATTAACAAAACAAACACTAGAAAAGTCTCCAAATCTCTGATTTGTTTCGTGAATATGTATTTCTCACCTCTTTTTCAGTAAGGCACTGAAGTCCAGCTCTCCTGAATCTTCATTTCCATCTGTACTACTGCAGAGATCACAAAATATTAGCAGCATGGTAACTGTTAGTTTACCAAGGAATACATACTGATACAACATGGACTGGCAACTACGTCTAGTTTTCTCCTGCGTCAACATGCAAGTGTAGACAAATGCTCAATGGCACAACTGGTTACACAATGTTGTTTCAGAGAAAGTTGATTGAACTTTTCTGGAAATGCCGTCACTTTTATCTGAAGATGAGGCTGAAATCAAATTAAGCCATTGGACGGGGAAATATCATTGTAAAGCTGAGAGGTGATGAATACATGAAGGTTGGAATCAATCAGTGAGCAGGCAGATGTTTCTCTGGATGAGCAGATGCTGCTATGTTCGAAGAGCCATCGTTTTGGGAAAATACTGTTAACACTTTTTTGTGGCAAAAACATAGGAAATCACATACTAACAACTTGCAGTTTTGACAAATCATTCAATCGAATTGGCTAAGCGGGTTGTTTGTTTGTACCCTTAAATAGAACCCAAGATAGAGTATTGCTCCTGCAGGCAATAGAAGGAAAATATGACTCTTATACCAAATATCACTCAAGAGTTTCCTTGAACCAACCACAGAGCCTATAAGGACGTAGAGATGGTTGGGTACATAGGAATCACACAAAGTTTCAAACCACAGCTGCTGTATTTTTTTATATTCACTAAATAATACCACACAACTTTGTCAAATGTCTTTCTATCACATGGTTGGGTTTATAACATTGTTTGGTTAGGTTTAAACACCCAACAGTCCATATACATATACTTTCTTTTTGTTTTTAGAACCCGGCCCTCACTTTGTGGAAACCATTTTGATGGTCACCATCGTTACACACTGTTGAAAATAGGGGCTCAATAGGAGTACATTAATGTGTCCTAAGGTACTTTTGTGACTCATGTAACCTATATGGCTAATAATTATACCCAAAGTCAAACTTTTGTACTTTTAGAGGCCCTGAAAAGTACGTTGTAAATGGACAAACTGCAAGGGTCCAGCAGCAGGACCTTCCCAGTGACAGATCTTGGACCTCTAAAGGTACTGTAGGTCCTTTCTTTTCTGAGGATGAATGTGGAAACATTGGCTTAGGATGAAACTTGCTGTTTTGTAGTTGGTTTTGAATATTTAGAACATTTCCACCCTCACTGAAGTTCTTAAAGAGGCAGACAGGAAATGAAATGATTTCAACAAGGATGGTTTCCCAAAAACACAAAACTCTCCCTCATGAGCAGCAGCAGCCATCCAGACAAAAACAGAAAAAAAACACGAAGTCACAAGTTCCAATGGAGCCTTGTCGCTTATCGGTGGGATTATAAACACAGATTTGACTCTTTGCTTGCGTCCCGCTTCTGATCCGAAAGCAGGATTAGAAGGTGAGTCTCTGGTTTATGTGGTGAAGTTACAACACACCATAGCTGCACTTCCTCTGTGTGGCAACCCCTCCGGAGGAGTTCAGCCACCGAAAAGCCCGGGTGTCTTAGCACTTCCTGCACTTTCAGTGCAACCAAATCACCATCAAATCTCACCCTGCCGGGAAGCTGTTTGAGCAGCTGGCTCTGGTATTTTGATTGAGACACAGGAGGAGATCAGAGAGAGCTGGCTGACACAAGTGCATGTAACTTAACATTGTACTCTTCCAAATCTCAACATATGGGCAGTTGGCCCTCATCGCGGCTCTTGCTGCTGGAAGCGATTACTTTTTGGATTAATTCTGAATTCCTCTTTGGATCTATGTTTAGCTCTCTCATGGTCTTCCCCTGTTGTTTTCTTTCAAAACTTTTCAAACTGCAGGTTAAACCATCCAAAACACTGGTTTTGATTGACACGAACGCAGAGAAGGAGCAGGCTGCAGAAAAGAGAACAAGTCTCCGATCTCACTCCTGATTTCTCCGTTCTTCCACAATCACAGTCCTCAGAGTTTTAAAAAAGAGCCTCCTCTTTTTTCTTTTTTTTTTAAACAAACACCTTTACTACCTGGCTCCTGGTCCGCTTTTCTTCTTACCGGCTTCGCTCCTGATAGGTTAGCATTTCCACAGTTATTTTTTCAAAACAGCATGTAAACAATCCACTGTACTTCACTAGCAACTGTGTTTATGCTTTTTTTATGCATTAACAGATATGTATGCATGCCCACAAATCTTGTCTGGGAAGTAAGACTAACCTCAGAATAATAAGCCATTTCCCTTTTTCCAATTAAACCATATATAGTCTTATAATCTTAAATAAAAAAGGCACAAAAATTTGGAATTTACCTGAAGTCATTGCTGTAGATTATTTGTGTTCATAATCAAGAAAAAATGGTTGTGTGTTACATCACATCTTTAAGTGAAATTCAACTTTAACTAATGAGATGAGAATGATAAGAAATACTCAAATGAAGTACAAAAATAGGCCGTAAAAATAGATCACTAGATTTTTTTCTCAAATGTTCATCCTAAAAATATTCAATCAAATTTTTCAGATAATATTTTTCAAAATAATTTCCATTAAGAATTTGTTACTGTCAGTAATTTTACTTCACTGACTTTCCAGTCACTTGAAGCCTTGTTAATTTCTCAGCCACTATTTATTTGCTTTATGTAACCTGAAATTAATTGAATAATGCCTGTAAAGACAGGATCATATCTAACTGATTGATATCAAAGTACAAAATACAAGTCAAATAACACAATTGCTCTAAAATTACACATTAGAAAATATCAACTAATCATTAGAACAACCTGCACATACAGAATTTTAATGTAAACCATTTATTAATATTATTTTTTTAGTAACTTACGTGCGCCTGAAAGCTGCTCTGATGTCGAAGCCTTCCTGAATACGAGCCTCTGAAAGCCAAAACAGGTTGGAAACGCATCAGTGTGGTGAATATTCCCAAAACATTGCAAGCAGCAGTTGAGGTGGATAAAAACACTCACCATGTACGGCTAATTCAAAGTTGCAGCTGTCAAATTTGTCCCTGGATGAAACTTCACATCTGTAAGCTCCGGCAAAGTTTGGCTTTGCAGCAATGATTTGCATCTCAAACGTGTACACCTGCAACCAGAAGCCAGAAAATATGAAACGTGAGATTTATGCATTGCATGTAAAACTGAAAGTCAGTTTTTAAGATTTTGGATCATAATAAGTGAGGAGGGGATTTATTATTTGATCCTTTTTCTGCTGGGCTTTATTCTACCTTGGTGTTACGGTCATACGTCTCCTTTAGCTGAAGGTGTTTTCCCGACTTGCTGGCAAGGTCCATCCACTTTCCTTTGAACCATTTAATGGTGGGTTTCTTCAGCAGTGACTCAGCATTTACTTTAGCCACAAATGTGATATTTTCCCCTGCAAAAAAATGCTGAATTTATTAGCTTCTGCAGCAACATTGTTAGTAAAAGACAAAGAATAAAAAGATGAAGAGCCTACAATATTCATAGCACCCTCTTCCCACTGGCTTGGGTGTCTGCGTATAAACTGAACTTTCATAACAGTGAAAATACTGACGATGAAGGACAAAAGATGCTTCTAGCGACAAATCCAATCATTAATTCCCTGTTGTGTGTGAAAACTTGTAAAAGAGCCACCTGGTGCTTGAAAAAGTGTTTTTTTTGGTGAAGAGCTCACCTACAGTGACTTCCCCACTCTGAGGTCTTTCTGTGAAGAGCCCAGTCAAGTCCTGCCTTGTGTCTGGCTGATGCGCATCTTAAAATCCATTAGAGTTGAAGAAAAATGACACAGCAAGAAAAAAATCATCACAATTAGGACATTTTTCCTCTTAATGGGAACAAAGAAATGTTGTGGACAGACATAGACATAGAATATTCAAACAATATTTTTGATTACCACAGCACACCAGCTGACCTTTGTGCTTCACATGTCAAATTCCTCACTCAGTCATTCACTCTTAATTTAACTGTCCAGGGAAATAAAATAATGCAGAGAAGCATTTCTTCAGCTTTTTCTCTCTCTGCAGATATTGAATGATTAATATGGATTAGTAAGAACACACTCTCTGGTTCTGCTTCTTGAAAATGGGGACCAATACTCAAGTATGCCACAAACCTCCATGTGACGAGGAAGAGGCCTTTAAGCTGAGACAGCCCCACCATGTCCAGAACCTTTAGCATCCCATTCATCCCCGGGCCATGACTAGCACAGATATCCAACAACAGAACTCCAATGGGGTTAAAGTCAAAGAGGCCATTTCTCCTAACCATGCCTCTCCAGGTCACTCCATCATTGTCAACGTGGGCGTAGTCCCTCAGCTCACCAGTAGGACAATTGCATCTCCAGATGTGCACCCCTCCCAGCACATAAAGACTCCAAAAAGCCCAGATCATCTGAACTGCTGTTTCCGGCACACGTAAACAACAGTCCGAACCACATCTGTGTGGAGGGGAGATCAACTACTGAGTATCCAGTTCTTATCTCTGTCCCTCACACACCAGCTCAGGCTCACTCCCCACTAAGAGCCGTGTTTCACGTCCCAGGAAAAGGGGAACCAATCTACTCTGATTTGAACTTTCCCCCACCGATTACAGCGACATGAAATCATGAGGTCATAAACCCCAAAACTGCGTATAGAAACACAGCATTGAGAAGCAAAACCCTCTCATTGCACTTTTCCGCCAATGACTTCTTAATAATTTCATACTCTTTGCCATTTAATAAACAATATTGCAATGAAATCTTTTTTAGCTGCCTTTTTTCTTCTAGATGGAGAAATTAAAGTTCAACATGAAATGCAGCATTGCTCAGTGTATCAGCAGGGCTAGAAAAGTAAAAACACAGCAATACAGTGGACATCATTACATGGAAAGGCTAACTAAAGAAAGGTTGTTGGAGAATGACCGAATGCTTGGCAACAGACACTGACCTTCCGCTGCTGGGGGAGCATCTTGCGCTGGGGCAGGGGTTTCCTCTTTAGGAGGAGCCTCTGGATGAGCAGCAGGGGCCTGTTCTGTCTGTGCATTGGGCTCCCCAGCTCCTTCAGCCGGGGCCTCAGCTGGAGCTTCTGCGTTGTCATTAGCGCGTGATATCAAGAAAACATTAAATCCAGGGTTATAAATTTGCCTAAAGATGCTGTGTTCTATATACTTTCGTCCACAATACCATTTTTGTGAGGCTTTTCTTCCACTTAGCCTTTTAAATGACATTTTTCTCACACGAAAAAATGTTCCTGGCGAACATTTATCTCCTAAATATGACTTTTGTTCTTATCACACACATGAGTGCCTTTCTAAGTTTCCATGCGTTATCAGCTGCCTCCCATGCCTGTCCCTCAGTGCCAGTCAAGTGGTGGTTACTCACGGGGAAATAATGCGCTGGTGTGAGGGTGAAGGTCAGCGAACAGACGGGCAGACGGGGAGGGAGGCTGGGCCCTGAGCCACAGACAGCTGCAGCCAAGGGCCCGCACCGCACCGCGCACGCTAGTCTGCTGCCTTTCTCCAAGATTTGTTCACACCTTATCAAATTCAAACAAGCTGAGCGAGACACACTGACAGACTAATGGCACAAATGCTGCTCTGTGACGCACTCAGCACACTCCGCAGTGTGAGTTACGGTGACCCGCTGCTGGACAAAATGTGATCACACCAGTGACTGCCTTCAAAGGAACAGCTGGACCTCTTGGGAAATGTTCACCAATGGAATGCAACGACTTGGAGAACTTATAGAAATGGCTGGTGTTTAGATTTGTGCTGTCTGTAAATGATTGAATGAATGAATCATGAATGAATGAATCATCTTATTTAGGGGGAATCAAAAGATTCTAAGTCTAAGTCTAAGTCTAAGTCTAAGTCGAAACAGGCCTTTGGATACAGACAGGCAAAACAGGAAGACTGGATACATAATCTGATAGTCTGAAAGAGCATCATATATAAGCCTCTCCTTTTCTAAGCATGATCTTTCTCTGATTTTGTTGAACCAGACATTTCTTGAGCCCTTTAACACATCTGGAGGTCTTAGTACTAATCATGCACAATTGATATGGAAAATTTTAAATGAAATTTTACATAATTTGCATCGGCTTCTTCCTGCCTTTAAGTTGAACTTTGCTTTGAATTGAAGTAAAACGTTTTCATCATTGAGCTTTTGTCAACTGCAGAGGAGGACGCACACTTCCCAAGATGTCCAATCAGAACTTGAAGCCGACAAAACTCATGAAAAGCTCATCCCCAGACTCAGAGGGTCGCAGGGTGCAGACTGTGAAATATCAAACGCATGCAGTGCATCAAATATTTTCGGCATGAGTCATTTTCAGAAGGGAGTGCTCCGCTTTGTGCTCGGTGACGGCTACATCGCCTTAAGGTGGGTGGAGGGAGATCACAAATGCACGGCCGCAGCTTCAAAGTCTCCCACCTGGCTTTGATACGACCCTCAATTCAAACTTGACTTTCGAACCACCAGCGATCACTGCATAGACATTGGCATCTTCCTTGGTGACGGCCCTTACAGTGAGCGAGTGCTTGTTTCCATCAACTGTCATTACATATTTGTCGCCACTGGCAATGTCCTTTGAGTTGCACTGCCATTTTACTTTAGCGTCAGCCTTCTCGGTCTCTGCTTCAAAGACCACATTTGACCCTTCTTCTGCCTCCTGTGTCTTTGGTTTCTTTGCAAATGCTGAAACTGAAAAGATTGGATTTAAGACAAAAAGCAATGGCCTAAGAAGATATCTTTTTAAAAAATGGCATGTTGTCTGGGTGAAACCAAGTTGCTTTTAGGAATACACACATGTACTTTCATTGTTTGGCTAAGTTTCCACTCACTGATCAAGTGATGTTTTCATAAAAGCAAACAAAACAAACAAAAGACCATTTCGATTTTTTAAAATTGAATTTGAAGCTTAGAAATAACCGTATACTCCAGTGTCACCTGAAAGTGGCAGAGTAGGCCATGTTGTTAATGGTTGTCATTAAGTACAATAAGCAGTTTTCTTGAGTGGAAACACTTAAGGGAATTTAAGAGAAACAAAACAATAAGAACTATGACTCTTCAGGAGGTACTTCAATATCTAGGAAGAGGATGGTTTATCATGACATTAATGAAAACGTAAGTCTTTGCCAGCTCAACTTGTTGAATCAGAACAAAGCATACTCAATTTTTTCATGTTGTTTTTAGTATAGTCTGATAAATTAAAAGAGAGAAAATAACAAATTACTTCAGTGTTGATGGCAATAAATGGGTTGCAGAATATACACTTTCTCACAGGTCCACGAATGAGCAGAGAAAGGTTTGATGTCTCCTAAAATAACTTGGAAAAGCCTGTAATCATAAATCTGACCCTTTCGAGGTTAAGTTCATGCCAAAATTTTAATCTATCCAGCAGACAAATGCTGGAAGATGGGTAAGTTTCCAATGAGCACGATTGATCTCAGAGGTTCTGGGGCCATCAAGGCTAAAATCAATCTGGAGTTAATGTCAGTACTGATCCCTAAAATGACTTGAAATACTTTAGTAGAGATGGATTGACCATGAGCTTTAATTGTAATTTCAGACACACACTCCACTCCATTCCTGCCAATTTGAGGCCAGCAAAACCAAAAGAAATGGAATTAATTGGAAAACCTCAACAGTGGGGTACGTTTTCATCCAATTATCACTTGAAGTGGATTGGGTGGAGGATTTTGCATTGGTTTAACCCTTGGTGGACGCATATGGAGCAGAAATTAACCTCATTAAAAGCAACAGTTTACTTTTGATGCTTCATTTCATGTTTAGATCACTATTCTGTGCTTGTATTACCTGAGTGAAATAGCTATATATCACCGGTTGTTTTGGGATCCTTTAGTTACTTCTAAATCTAAATCTGCAATAAACCAGATCACTATGTGTTCACTGGTGAAAGACTGATCATTTAGTCCTCTCTTGCCTATATAAAAAACTAATATCAAAGTTGGAGCCAGAGGAAGACAGATGGATGCTGGCACTCAACTCATGAGCTGCACGCATAAAAAAGTGCAGTGCTGTGCAGCCTGTCACTCGCTGGGTGGGGCTGTCTAAAAACCTATTGTTACTCTGGCATTTGTGCACTTCCTCTTACAGTAAAAAGTTATGTCAAAGTTTTCAGCATTTTTTTTTCTCCACGACAAAAATGACGGAAATTTGTCATTTAAGCTTGATGAAATTATTTTAAACGATTTCTTTTCTCAGATCAACATGAAAATTGTTCAACACAAACACAAATTCATGGTTTATGACGTGATGTATCTCTAACCGTTGAGGATAAATGAAAAACAGTGGTGAAGCAGCATTAAACAAACCAATTTTAAGTCAAATGAAGTGCTGCTCTGACAATTTTGTCTGCGACAACTTCCAAGCAGATCCTTTGTATTACATGTATACAATACCAGCTATTCAAAAATGAAATAAAAAAACAAACAAAACAGAGTGATACTGTACAAAAGGGCAAATACTGCTAATCATTCCAGGATCTATGTGCCAAAGTCAGTCAGGTAATTCAAGACATTACATAGAAATAAAGGTTGGGGTCAGGGTTAGCCTATGATTCAAACAGCAGAGTTCAAAGCGAAAACAATGAAAGAAATAGCAGGAGCACTTATGACAACACAACTGGCATAATGTTTAACATGACTGGAAAAAATTCCACAAAAATCAATAACAGTTACAAACATTATACACTAATCTAAAGAGAGAATGACACCACATCACTGCAAGTCCTAAGACATGCTCAGCATTGTTCCACTTTTCCAAAGGCCTAAAATAGTTTAACTGACAGCAGGATGTGTTTCACAGGAGCATGTCTTTAGAATCATGAAGTTCATGTTTGGTGTTATATAGACGCATGCTTTGCAAGTTTGACTGCAAAGCAGTTTAACAGAGTATTGTAAAAAAAAAAAGAAAAAAAAAAGAAGATGATAAAAAAAAACTTGTTACTGGACGACCCAACAAGCAAAGGTTTAAATATAGGGTGTGCTCTGTTTAGGGGACGATTCAATGAGGCTGGAAGGGCTTCAGCTGCGGCAGGTATCATAGGATTAGCCCGATGCTATTTTTATGACTCTGGAGGCAGACTAGGAAGAATGATGTGTCCCTCTTGTCAAGTTGTCATTCATGCCGCAGTACCTTTGACACCTTTACATGAGTTTAAATACTAGGGTTAGTAATATACCTCTCTGTGTTTTAATTTCAATCTTAATTTTAGCAAAAAAAACTGAAAGTGAAATTAATTTTAGTTCAGTATAAAAAGAATTTTGATAACTGAACTAAGTTAGAAATTATACCAAAGCCATGTGTCAAAAGGACAGGATTACCTGGTGTTGTTTAAAGTCTTATCACACAAATATATATGACAAAAGGCTTGATATGGTTTAGACTCTAATCATGGTTAAGTGTAAGGTTTAACACAACAACAAACATATGAAAAAGGATGAATCCCATTTTGTTTACTGTAATGTTCTAAATGCTGAGCACACAAGCAGCCAAATGCCCGTTCCTTGTCAAATTAAGCAAATTCCTTTTTTAAAGACTGGAGATTACTACTTATTTATGGATTTAATCCAGTTTTCATTTACATGTTGCTTCAATTTGTATTCAACTTCTAGTTGTATCTATCGTGAATCAGGTAGTGATATATTAATCACTACGTGTTGAAATAAAATAACAGTGACATAAACTAAACTGGGCCTTTTTAATAACTTATGAAAACATTTACTTTTGGGATTCTTTGGGATTCTTTTTCATGCTCTTTACAGAACACCTTGTTCAAATACAGCTGTTTTCTAAACAAATGTTTCAGATTCATATTTGTAAAAATGGATTTTGTTGCTTCGATTTGCAATATTTTGTTTTTGGAAACAATCATCAGAAATGAAACAACCAGGAGACCTTAGAGAACTGAGTAATAAGACAGGGATGAGACTGATAAGGGAAAACCAATAGCATCCTGTAGACATTAGGGTGTTTGATAATAGCTTTTAGCAAAGCTACTGGCTGTAGATTATCATAACTTCACAAATCCTTCACTCCAGAGGTCTTAGCACACACAAGCTGACCATTTGGTCACTGTGGAGTCATCTGATATGTGAGATGCTGGCCTTGTCGCTCCTCTAACAGCCATTCATTCCCAATCAAGAGGACAAACCAAAACTGTGTGAAGTCATTTGTCATGCTGGAATCCTGTTGTGCGTTTTCGGATCAGTGGATCATTTTGTGAATGCAGAGATGCTGGAAATGTGACCGCGTCAAGTTGACATTAGATGATGTTTCCACATAAGTCAGATCAGGGGGGGGTCTTTTCATTGGAAACCCTTTGAACTGAGGACGCAGAATTGCATGTGCTATGTTCTGGTTTTGGCAGGTTTGTGAGTGTTGGTACGTCACATTACTGAGGAGCTTATGGCATCTTATTCAGTGGTGGATTATATTTGAATCGGGGGAAATTGATACGGTAGATGTCACTGTACTTGGTCTGCTGCATTGTTAGGACTTTATTTTAAGCTGCTGAAACAAGATACACTTTACAAAGAACCCACATTTGTATCCAACTATATATATGTATCGTATATATACGATATGCCCGTAGACACTCATCATGTGAAATGTTTTTCTTATTTTGTTTTTCAGTTTTAAAGAAGTTGTGCACCAGGTTGCTAGACCTCTAATTATGATGGGATGACATGAATAGAAAATTTCAACGAAGAACAAATGGACAAATTTCCATGTACAAGAGATCCCCTTGATAAAAATATTCCAGCATGAGAAGTATGTTCACTCAAGTTCTCCACTCAGCCATGTGGTAATGGTTTACCAGTTGTGGCCCCAAGCTCTTCACAATGTCTCAATGTCCATGTTATACATGAAGCTGAAGTAAAGTTAGTTACAACCTGCTTTATGCTGTTCTGAAGAGGATTTACTTGTTGAAAAATCAGATAAAATTTAAAAGCCAGTTGGTTACCACGAGGTGAAGGATCAGGTAAGATGCAGTCGGTTAATGCAACACTTACCTGCTTTTTTGACAGGCTCTGGCATCCTGAATGATCTCCTGTCCTTAACGGTGTGTTCAGTCCTCAAACAGTCTGTTGTCTGCGCCCTCTGCCTTTAATAGTGGTCCTGCTTCCAAACAGCCTCCCCTCCTTTCATAAACCATCCCACCTCCCCAGCCATTTTTTCCAGCCCTGACACAACACCTAAAAAACAAACCACCCACTCCTTCTCCCCCATCAAAGCTCGCCCCATCCCTGCACTAATCCAGCCCCTGCCACTCCACCCTGACCGCCCCCCCCCAACCCCGGTCCCATCTGACCTCTGGCTATATTTCAACCATCCTTTCCTCGGCACTTCATCTGGCAGATAGGCCTTGAGAGCGAGGGGAATGGATGTAAGGCGGAGGTTAAATTTAGAACTGAACCCAGAAGAAGTGTTTGCTCTCCACACGTTTAACATGTAGTCTGTGATGTTTCCCGGTAAAAGACACGAGGGTTTATTTTCACCCATAATATGTCAAGTTTTCTGTCTCCGGGTTTTATTCCAGTAGCCAAAGGTCAATCGATATTGTTGCTATACAGTTCAAACTTACATATAATGATGTATGTTTAAAGTGAAAAGCAGCACGCGTATAAACACTTCACTTCTTCACCTCATTGCTACTTACTTTTACAATATGATCAAACATTTCATGTATACACTGTATAATACTAAACCATATTATGCAGAAACTCTACTGTTCTTTGCTGTTCTTTACTACATCACTTTAAAATGATTAACTGAACCTATATCACTACAATAAACAGTCCTTTCCCGTGCTACATACGTGTGATAAGAAGTCATCTATGAAGATTTTGTGTCTGAAGTTGGACTAATCACCTGTTTTTTTTAGTTCTATCTTCTTTTTTGTCTTTCTGTTGGGCTTTGTGTAACTTGGATCTTTGCTACTGTTTTTTTTATCAGTCACAACTTCACCATTGTGGGGAGCTGTTGGCTCTTTAGATCAAGGACACCAAGGGCTGTGGTCATTTAATCTTCAGGCCACACTGCACATGTAAGAAAACAGTCACTCACTGTGCTATAAGGTAAGTTTTTTTCAATCATATCTTAGTTTTAGGATTTGAGCACTTCACATGTAATCCAACTGACTAACATCAGTGAAGATAGTGTTTGTGTGGTGAAGGTATGGCATCCTATGTTTTCTGTTAAAATGGAAATGTGGTGGAACAGAAGTTGATCAAATTCCTAAAAAGAGCTTCAGGGAACTTCATATGAATAGATTTGTTACATAAACTTAAAGATGGAACATTGTTGACAAAGAGCCACATGGAGACATTCTGCATCATTTGGACATTCAAATCTGTTTCCTGTTTGTGAGATGTGAAAATCCCAGATGCATCACAGTACTCCCCGCACACCCACTATGAGCAGAGAGCTGGTGCCTGCAGTGTGTCAGGATTCTTGGGCAGATATATGTAAGTACCGTGTGACAAGCCACTTCAGCTCCCGAGGCCTCCATTAACCCCACAGTTCCTAATAGTTTACAAGTTATCTTTTAGACCTCATTCAACAAAATTTACTTTCCACATGGAGCTTCTCTGAGCCAAAACCCCCCCCATTCCCAGTGATGTTTACAAATGTTACCATTCATGTGTACTGATGCACATTTATTTCTTTTACAAGCAATTCATAGTTGCACAATTTCTCTTATTTGTACAATTATTTTTCTTATGATGTAAGTAAATGTTGTACATGGCACGATATATTATCTAATAGTGGATGCTCAGAATCTCCTTAATGGCATCTTTGAGTCTCCAGGCTGTTTTAAATACACAGTTGCATGTAAAAATGCTATACACACAGTAGAATTACCCACAAGAGAACTTAAGCATGTACAAATAAAACAGAAGTCAACAAAAGAGGATAAAAGATGAGGCCCAATGGGACGCAACAGAGCAAGAGGCCAAATGACAACATGTCCACTCGAAAAATAATATTTTCCTCTGGACGCTGCCCATAATAATGCCTGACCTTACATCTTAATGAAATGCTTACAGGTGCTGTTGTTGTGGGATTCTCCCTCTGAGGTCAGATCCTCATAAAGCCAATTAACAATGAACTGACAGTAAAATACACATGAAATGTAAAGAAAAAGAAAACATACCAAAATGTGAGCTACACAGAGGAGTTTACTGAGCGCCACCGCTTTTTATTTAATGATGGCATGTAGCTGTTTTAAACGTGCACATCACTGAATTCTTTTGCATTATAAAAAGAGGCTCCTGTGTCTTTAAGATTATCATCCCTTATTCATTTCATGTGTGATTGTTTGCTCCTAAATTTATTGCCACAGAAGTAATTGAGACTATTTCACTGACGATTTAATCAGGTTATTATTTAATGACAGTCTCTAAATAGTCCCCACACAGGTTGTGGGGAGTCTTTTTGGGGACGCTAGGAGTCTGATGAATCCTCTCATTCATCATTTTCTCCAGAGGACTGGTCCAACTGGATTAACGTAATGCAATTTGTCAGATCAGGAGGTTGTATCAAGCACCTAAAGTTATACTGGAATGAATCTCTCTAAATGTACGGTTTTCTCTCCAGATGAGTCTTCCCCAGAACCTCATCACTGAACTGATACGTCAGCTTCTTCTTGATCTTTTTCACTTCTCCAGTTTTGCCATAGTTACGCAAGGCACGGGCCATCTTCTGATAGGTCATTTTTTTGCGGTTTCCTTTCTGGATGCCCCAGCGGTGTGCGAGAGCCTCCTTGTGTTTGGAAGAAAACTGAAATGTCCCCTTGTCCCTGTCCACCCACCAGATGCTTTCCTTCATGTCGCCATTCCTTAAAAGGTCCAACAGGAACTGGTACAGACGGATCTTCTTTTTATTTCCTTTGGAAAAATGAGAGCATTGGATCATTAGTATAATTTAAAAACCTACATGCATTGTGCAAAACAACTTGTACTGTCATTTTTCATTTGAACGTGTGTGGAAACAGCTCAGTTTATCACTGTCCAGACTCAGAACATACTCTTTTCTGCTTCTTTTAGGATCTACTGTTTATGTTTAACATCATTAATCTTCACTAATAATGCCTGTATCATATATGTACCAGTGTGTACATCCAAAATCGTTCATCAGCCACTGTTATAGCTAAATGTCAGATAGTGTCATAACTGTTGCTGGCTCAACAGATGGCTGCAAAGCAGTTTGGACTCTCCACCACGGACTCCTCCAAAACTCAATGTCCTCCATAAATCTGCAGTAATTTATTTTGTTTTGTTTGAATCTAAGATGAGGAAAATATTCCTACACCGTAGGCACAACAGTGTTTGACTAATCTGCCCTCAGTGTTATCCATCACGGATGCGTCCAACAACTGCCGAGTCAGCCGAGTGACTTTTGAGATGACAGCACTCTGAGTTGTACTGAAAGTCTGAGGTGAGTGATGAGAAATTTAGAGAATGCAGTCCTTCTCAGACCTTCAGTCTCACAAACTATGCTCTGATTCTCAGATAGTTGGTGATCCTGGTGATTATGGAGACATCCACCTGTATTTTCTGGAGGCCATTACCACATTACCACATACCAGAAGTGGACTGATTGAGCGAACTCTAGTGCACCCTTAAGGACCCTGCGTAGGGTATAGAGCTGGTCCAGCATTCCAGGACGAAAACCATACTGCTCTTCCTGAATGTGAGGTTAAACTATCCGATGGACCCTTCTCTTCAGAACGGCTGTATAGACCTTCCCAGGGAAGCTTAAGAGTGTGATTCCCTTGTAGTTGGAACACACTCTACGGTCTCTCTTTTTAAATAGGGTGAACACCACCCCAGTCTGCCAATCCAGCAGAACTTCCCCTGATGTCCACGCGATATTGCCGAGTCGCTTTAGCCAGCACCAGCGCAACCCTACAACCTCCAGAGCCCTGAGGAACTCCCACCGAATGTCATCCACCCCCGATGGCGAAGGGAGGCTACCCTCTCTTTCACAACGGTGAACCACAATGTATGGGCGCCAAGAGGAGGCGCAACAAGTATGCCCACTCCTGCTCGGCGCCTCTCACCGAGGGAAACTCTGGTACAAAAGACTTTCCAATCCTTCTCAAGAAGAATGGTTCCAGAGCCAGAGTGGTACGTCGAGGCTAAACCGACTATATCTAGACGGAATCTCTCCGCCATGCACCCCAACTCAGGCTCCTTCCCCACCAGAGAGGTGACATTCCACGTCCCAAGAGTCAGCTTCTGTAGCCGGGGGGTTGGTCCGCCAAGGTCCCTGTCTGCGGCAGCCATCTGTTCTACACCGTACCCGACCCCTTTGGCCCCTCCCATGGGTGGTGAGCCGAATGGAAGGGGAACCAATGTGACATCTTTAGGCTGAGCCCGCCCGGCCAGGCTCCATGGGTGAAAGCCCAGCCAACGTGCTCCACCTCCAGGCCTGGCTCCAGAGTGGGGCCCCGGAGGCCCGCTTCCGGGCGAAGGAGCACTCGGCCCATTTGTCTTACTCATCATGAGGGGTCTTTTCGCTATGCTTTGTTTCATCCTTCGCCTAGGACCCCCTTCTACCTCCTCAACACCATTCCAGGTAAAACTGTCCTACCGAGAGCTTTTTTGCTCTCCTTATGTAGACAAACACAGCTGTTTGATGTACCATGGACAGTTTCGTGAGCGGTGCAAGTCAAATATACAGTGATCAGAGGCAAAGAAAGGAAAAGGTTTGGCTTTTGAAACCCTTGTTGAGTTTTAAAATGGCTTAAATAATCATACTGTTCGATTGATGTGAAGCAAAGCATGCTAAGGACAAAAGGGCACCACACAGAAGAAGTTCCACTGACAAAGACTTTCAATGACTCAACGCTTATTCAACAAACATGCTGCTGATTGTCACATTTATATGTGAGGAAGGTCACCACACAGACGTCTGACACACAAACACCTCATCAGTAGCTGTAATTTTTTAGCTTTTCTTTGTTCCAGTGTTCTGTATTAGATCCATCTTAATTTCATTGTCCCATTCCACTGGAGTTGCAAGCAGCGTTGTGCAACTCCTCACCCATCCAAAAAAGTTCAATTGAAGTTGTCAGCAGAACATCACTCTGGCAAAACTCCAATATGTTGAGGCAAGGAATACAACTTTTTTCCACTTTAAAGCAATTCCTCTTCCACTTCGCTGTATTGGTATCTCAAAGCAGCTCACAGGTCACCAGCGCTGCTCATCCCTGTTGTCGTCTCAGGCACATGAAGTGACTGTGCACTTTTACGAACAAAAAAATCACTCCAACAATTCCTCTTAAAGTGGTAAACACAACTACAAACGGCGCCTACGACTTTTCATGGTTCATGCAGTGTGGGGTGACGTTGTTGCTCCTTACCCAGCTCCACTGGCGTGACATAGGAGACCCGATCTCTCAAGCATTCTTCGTCAGATACCTCCAGTGGGGGGCTTCGTCCTCCATGCTCTTCATCATCCGAGCTGCGCTGGGATCCATGGGCTGGGAACACAGTCCTCGGGTAAAACGTTACCTGCGCAAAGTGAATCAAAGCTGATTATTCCAACATCAACATGTTTAAAACACAATGTCTCCTACTTGTTGTTGCCTGATCATTCAAACTAAAGGAAGACACCAAACTACAGAGTACAACCTCAGCTTCAGAGGGAAGGTTTCTCTTAATTTTAGGGCGTCTTTGACCAAACCCATTTAAATCCTGAGCTGCATTAGATGTACATGAACTTCTCTCCAGCCTCACAACTGATCACATTTAGCAGGACAAACCATTTGAGGGTTATATTAGTAGAGTTGATTTAATTATTAGAAGTCCTTAAGTCATGTTGTTGTTGGTATTACACAACAACTCCTTTGTTGCCTCTGTCTCATGTTTTTCTAATAGATGTTGCAGTCAATGATCAAATACTTTTTTTAAAGAAAAAATAAAATCTCGGTTTATTGAAAATCAGAGCTTGAACAAGACATTAATGTCTTATAAACTCAAAATTATCATATGTAAAATGTTTATATAAGACATTAATGTCTTATAAACTCAAAATGATCACATTTCTTTTGGTTTCGTTGAGTATCTTAGAAGAAATTATTCTAATGTGAATTAATTATCTTATTTTGAGCTATTCACTACATATCCTGAACCATTTATCACTCTAGGTTTTAAAAAGCTACTCACTACATGTTTAACTATCAACATAACATTCTCAAATAATTATTTGTGATGCACTTTACATTACTAATCTTGGATGGTTTCACATCGGACCATGTAAATATACCATTTTAGGTTTGCTGATAGATCTTTGAGTGCATTGTCCCATAACATTAAAGGCAAATCTGTCTCGAGACTTAAAGTCTCTGTCAGTGAAAGTATTTCTTTTTTTAATTCTCTGCATGAGCTGTGATGTGTGGATGCTGCTGTAGAAGTGTGACTGGCAGGGCACAACCTGTCAATTTATTCATAACATCCTGTGAAAAAAAGTCAGTGGTGGACACAAGACTGACATATTTGAACAATTTTATCACCTTGTATTTTCCTGTCATCTTTATATTGACATAGTAAAGTCAACTTTTTTTAACACAAACATAGTCACACTTTGTGAAAAGGGCAGACATGTTTTTTTCACGGGAATTTTTTTCACCCTACAAAAGGAAATTATTTGCTGACCTAAAAGCACGTGGTTTCTTCACACTGGATTGCAATCACAAAAGACATATGCTGTGTTTTAGTTTTTCAGGTCACATGAAATGTACTGTCTAACTCCCATGTTTAGTTTGAGTTTACCTTTTCGCAGAAACTAAGCAATATATCAACATCATCTTTGGCATCATCATTGAAATTGCAATTTTCTATTTCATAAATGTACATATATACATTTCTTTATCTTTTAGAATTTAATCAACATTTTTATGTTTATATTTTCCATCCTTTTTTGTAACTTATAGAGAAAGTTAATTCAGGTCTGCCTAGCATGAGTTTGTATTGCTGGAACCGCACAACAAGGAAGTTAAAAGGTTTCACACTGCAGTGTTGATGTGGTTAGATGTGCTGAACTTAAATGTTGTTCAAAAACAGAGATGTCTGTTCTAGTCTGTTGGTTCAAAAATGGAGGGCTGAGGCAGACAGATGCGACTAAGCTGATCATTTAGAGCCTGTTCAAAGAAAATAGTTTTTAAACTGCAAAAAAGGGGAAAAAACGCTAGTTTTAGTGTTTCTTGTAACCCAGAGATTCACTTCCTGATTTTTGTGAAATGATCTTATAATGCTTCCAGCTTTAGAAATCCTATTTAAATCCCAAATGTGAGATAAGAGATTGAGAGGTCCAAGAGTACATTGTGACCATATCACACAACATTTACAAACTGAGCTGAACAGTTCGCAGAAATAGAACCACACGTTTTGTTGGTGAAGACACAAGAACTTACTTGTTGCTGCAACACATGTGAATGTGCACCAAGATTTGGATCGAGCAAGTTTTCTGCATCGTATCGAATGGGTTCGTGTCGTATGAGGCCAGGCGGGTGGAGAGCCTGTACACTCTGCAGCTCTGTGAAGTTGTTATCTTGGAGGTTTTCAAACTCAACAGGGTGCACGTGGGGGTGAGGGTGATACTCCCAGTGATCTAAACACAGAAGAGGAAAAGAAGCATTATGGGCATTTTTTTTCTTCTCATGCCTTCGCCTACTTGCTGCCTCAACATTTGCAACACATATCGCTCTGGAATGATAATAGATGTTAACCCCAGAGACTGACTTAGACTCACACCTTCACACTAAACTAAGTAAAGGCCCCCAACTTAAGTTGATGAAGTGGCAACACATGCTTAGATGTGAGGTTTAGTGCAATTCAAAAATACCCAAATGACAACTAGAGATAACAGTAAGCTGCCAGAGTTTTTGTTAATGCTAAAAAATGGGTGGAATAATTCAGCATGATGCTATTTCCTGTTTGATGCAACGCAAATAGTGTAACAGCAGCTATCAATGTTGAAAATGAACTCTGTTGACTGCCATCCTTAGCTCTTTTAGATCCTTTAAAACTGCATTTAAGAATAAAGGAATATCATTTAACAAACCCAGCTTTGAAAGTATTAGGACAGAGGAGCTCAGAAATAAAATTGAGCAGGACTTTGACGTACAAACTAAGGCAAAAGATCCCTGATCAAAGGATTTCTACATTTTATATATTTTATGGTCTTGATCAGCTATTTCCATTGAAAGTTCCTCCACCCACCCAGCATTTCAGTTGTTTTGGTGCAACATTCAAAGCAGTAGATTAGAGAAAGTAAGGCACCTCTCATGTATCAACAAAACCCCATGGGGCGAAAGTTGTTCTATGTCTGTAGTTATAGCGGCCGAAAGAAAAGGCATCTGTTTCCTGTGTTCAGTACACCCTAATGTGGTGCTCTCCAGCTGCACACACTGCAGTCTTTTTATGTACAATAGAAAGGTCTGCGTTGCCAAATTCAGCCATGAACATGACATTAAAAAACAGACTAAGATGAGAACACTTTCTTCCACAAAAATTTGGTTGGAATTAATTGAATAAAATATGCTCTTTGTGGTGGATTAAGCACTTCATGTTGTTTGGGGCCCATTTGAACAGATTCAGCATTTGCTTTAATTGTAAAATGTAACAGATCCACACACCACCCACTGTTGTGGCTTCCTAAGTTTAAAATCTTTCCACGTCAGACAAAAAAAAAAGACGGTCGAAGTAAAACTCACCTGCCTGGATATCTGCATCTATTACATATGGATTATAATATTCTGCAATTTGATGTCTGTAGATGTCAGACTCGTACATTTCTTCTGTGTGCTGAAAGAGAAAACAAATATTTTTCGGACACAGCGAGCCTTGAAGGAAAACCCCTGAACTAGGTCGGTTCAAGTGATGCAGGCAACAAAAACTCCATTCGGACTCGTTTATTTTCTGTAAAGTACACTTAAATTATAACTTTTATTTCAATAGAAATGTATAACATCTGTGAACTTGTCTACATTTAAATCTGACGAGACGGTATTTGTGTCATAATAATACTTTTTTTTTTCTTGCCACGACAATTCTGAAACTCTTGAACCTTTGAGTTTCAATTTCATGTTGCCTCTTGTATAAAAGAGGCTTACAGCTTGTGTACTGAGTTCACATCAAAGTTGAGACAACATTAAGTCACTCCTTGTTAAATGAAAATATCTGCTGTTTTGGCTGTGAAGGTTTCTTTAGTTAAAGCTACACAGAAATCAAGAGGCACCGTGGACTCTTTTTAAACCTCAGATGCAAAACAACCCCATAACATTTTAGATGTTAGAAATGAATCAAAATGTACTTACTGGTGGGATGAGGTAGCTCTCCATTCTGTATGGATGCAACATGGAGACCGCTTCTCCAACGGACGAACTCTCAGATGCTTTGCTGGCAAAACGCTCTCACAACCTTTCAAAACTTTTGCGGCACCATTGCACAATGTTACAAAATTTCCTCTCACTCAACGAAAACCAAAAATGTCTCCCTCTCTTATTGTATAGCATGAGCTTGTGACCTTAGCTTCTCTCGGAGGCCTTCAGCTCTGTCTGGCTAAATAAAATAAGCCAGGCCGGTTGTTTGATGGTAAAATGAAAAAGGAACCTTTAACTTCTCTAAATTTGTGTGGGTGGGAGCAGTAGAGTGTGTCTGCTAAAGGTTCCTGGCCATTGATGATTTGTCAGGGGAGACCATGAAACTTCACATTTATCTTTATAAGCTGTCCCCTCCCTCATCAGCCAATCATCATCAAGGGTTTCACACTTACAGTTTCTCCCTCTCAGAAGCACAGGCAACAAAGAACTGCCTGGGAGCATTTAATGTGGTTTATGAACATAATCTTGTGCCTTTTTAAAGGTATGTTTGATACAGAGGGACTGCAACATCATTTTATTTGCTTTGCTGAACACTACAGCATAGTATAACTTTAATGATAATTCAAAACATATTTTTTGCTTTTTCCCTCATGCAGGTGAGTAAAGACACTCTGTCTTTATATAAATTATATGGCATCCATATTGTGTTAGATATACTGTTTAAAATATATCTAATATCTAATGTTCATAAGGTAATTATTAGTGCTACAGCAAGAAATCAAATTTGTGTTAGCTTGTTTTTTTTTAGTGGCTGTTTTTCTAACTATCGATGTGAAATCTAGAATGGAACCTGTTGAATTGGCTTTGCTTTTTTCTTCTTTTTTTGTTTTTAAACATGCAGTACATTTCAATTCACTATAAGCCTACTCTCAATGTACCAGTTAGCAGCAAGAAGCCTTAAGATCCTATCAGATAAGGTAGAAGTTCATGTAAAAATATCTTTATGGTTTCTCAGTTAACATGTGCCACCGTGTGAATCAAGTATGCTGCATGCGTAAAGTGACTGAAGAAGCAGACTTCTGGTGTAAATAAATACTTATCCTTGTCATAACAGCGTGTAGGATACCATATAAACTCCCAAGCCTTTTTCTCAATCCTGTACCATAATAGGTATTAAATCAACCATTTGCCCCAATTCAAACCCAAACCCTAAAGCTAACTGTTGACTTTTAAATAGCTCTCTAAATTTGCAAAGTTCTCCTTTCTGGCCCCTAAACTCTTATGGTGAAAGAAGACAAGTCTCATCCTCTCCATCGCAGCATCCCCGTCACACACATGCAACACGCACACACACACACACATCTGGAAGATAAGATGAGGGTACAGTCTCTGTGCTGTAACCACAGTGAGGTAAAAGAAGATTACCGGTATGTTTATCACACAGAAGATAATGCACAAACAACAAATGAAAAAAACCCAACAAAAAATAACTACGCTTAGCTTGTTTTCTTAAACTAATACATAGGTGTCAAATGACTATATTAAACTAACTGGTGAGAACACATTGGGGCAACATAACAGCAAGACATATTGGTTTTCTGAGCACGCTGTGGCAGCTGCTAGAACAAAAAAAAACATGTATGTTTCCTTGAAGCTGAAATAGCTGTTTATAAGTACAGTAAGAGTGTCGCACAAATCAGAGTGTGTATTCTTAGAGTTGCCTGTTTGAGAGGAAGAATGTAAGTTAGTGATAAGGCAGCGCGCTGGAAATACATCTTACTGCTGGATTCAAAATACTGAGGGGATCTTGATATTTTCACAGGGCTCATCATGGGTGCAGATTTCTCAACTACACACAAATGTAGTCAAATCCTCTTGCAAGCACTGAGTGTAGCAGACAAATGTTATCACTGGAGAGGCTCCCTTACACGATGTGCCAATTGTATATATATATATTTATTTTTATATTTACGTGTTTATGCGGTATATGTGTGAAACATTTTACTTCTACCATAATATATATATTCTATAATTGTTTCCCGCTTAAGTGATGATTAAAATTGGCAAACTTGCTGTTTGGAGAGCTGTTAAAACCACATAGACTGTGGCCACACATAAAAAAAGAAATGGCTCCTGTCTTAATCACAGCTGCCTGATGACACAGTAGCATTGTAGCATTTTCCACGAGTATTTATACGCAGAGAGAGCTGCAACAACACTGGGACTTTTTCTATGCCATTTATTTTCAGTCGAAATCAAAAAATAGTTCTGCTCATTTTTTAATGCAGTGTTACAAAAGTCAGGATCAAGAAAAAAACAGAGACATTTTCATAGATTTAAATTTAGTTCCCAACAAACAAAAATAAAGTTAACTTAAACAACCTCATGAATCGAAAAGCACAAACATTTAATTCAGTCATCGATTGTGAAAGACAAGTGCTGAGATGCTACAAGCATCAGCTCAGTTGATCATCAGTTTCTAATAATTGACAATCAATTGATATAATTACATGTGAGTGTGCGTGTGTGTGCTTGTGTGCAAACAATATTTTACCCAAGTGAAATCGGCTAGAGCACATATTAGAAGCATCCCATGAGTCAAATTCAGCATTTGAAAGTATTAGAGTTTTTGGGTATATACAATTTTGGACAAGTGTGCTAACATTTCTCATCTTATTTTTACAACTTTAGAAGGAGGAAAAGTTAGATTATTGAGCATTTAATCTAGGTGGAACTGGTTACTTATAAACCACTGATGATGGCGTGATGGATAGAGGAAAAGCATTAAAGCATAACGACATAATTTAGTTGTATGACCACAAATGATTATTTCATATTAAATTAAGGCCTTTGGTGATACAAGTCCAAGCTGACTTATTTTAGAATCTATCAATACCTTTTTACACAAATGAAATAATTTTTTGTACTGGCCTGTTTATGGAAAAGGTAAAAGACTGCTTTGTGCATTTGAATTCGGCCTTTAGGTGCTGTACAAAGTAACAAGCATCATTGTTTGTAATACTCCCTTAAAGACTTTGAGTGAAAGTGTCAGTAACAATATTGAAAAGCATAACTTGTTTTGGAGCGGGGTTGAGTTTCCCCAGAGTAAGTAGTTATTACTTGAACAGATGATCTGCTGTGTGAATGCATCAGTGCAGCTTTTCACTTCAGTCCCTTTCTAAAATCGCCTGGTGATTTTCTCATTCAAAGGAATGATATCCAAATATTCACTCTAAAATCTAAGTGAAATAGCAAAAACTCACCTTTTCTAATATTGAAAGAGAGGAGCAATTTTTGTTGCATCAAAACATTTTCATTCATATTTTACGCGTGGTTTTTAGATTAAATGTTAATGAAAAAAATATCCTCTTTGAAATATAACAATGCCATGATCCTAAAATACTTGGATAAAAATGGTCAGAATTTATGATGCCTTTAAAGGTGCTTTGGACTCCAAAAATGCCCCGTTATAAAGCCGACTTAAACACATTTATTAATTTCTATCCCAGAGGTCACACTGAGCACAATTTACAAAGTAGTTATGAAGCGTGCATTTGTGGGACGCCAGTAAAATTTCCTTTGATGAACATAGATAAAGCAGGTTTAACTTTGAGTTTTGAGAGCACCTTTGCTCACTGTTAATGTAATTTCACCTCCAATCTATCTGTAGTGTTATTCAGGGCTCATTGAGGGTTAACACATTTAAAAGCATGTAAGGTTTACTGACTTGTGGAGGGATTTCTTAAGATTATTTGCCTCCTCTAAAGATCTTCCACGTTGTAGATTATAGATTTTTATTCTGAGACGTGCTTCCCTTATTTAGAGTGGTGAGCTCCTCCCCATCTCTACTCCTGAAAGAGTCAGCTTCCATGAGAATTACTTTTTTTACACTTATCTCAACAAATGGCAATGCATTAAATGTTCCTTAAATTGTCTTAATCAAATGGAGCTGTGGTGATTTGAACCACCGCCTCACAGCAAGAAGGTTCTCCGTCCAAAGTTTGCCTCTTTTCCCTGTGTATGTGGGTTTAATATTACATATAACATATGATACTAAATACTATAATATAATGAGATGTGATGTAAAATATAATTTTCATTATGTGGTTTTAAAACTGTTTTGAGTGACAGAACTTGTCATTTCGGCTGGCTTTTCTGACACAGATCTCATCAAGATCTTGCAAAATGTTAGAGAGATTTTTTGATCTTTAAAATCTTCCATGTAAAATTTGAGAATGAAAACGGTATTTTTCTTTACCTGGTTTCTATTATAATAGTTTTCTCTAGGAGGCTGTTTTTCTATCTGCGTCACCTTGTGTTTGTTTTCCTTGTGGCCCGAGAGATAAGACGCTCCCAGCACATATTACACGCTCACTGACAATGAGACACTATTGATTGAGGAAGTGGGAACTTGTCTTTCAGATTCAGTTCCTTCAGGGTTGCCTTTAAATGTGTTCACTTTCATGTTATATGGTCAGCGTGTCCCAGGTTATGCTATAAGAGTTATTTATTTTGCTAGAGCACTTTTCTATTGTGTGTGTGGCATGCCTTGTGCTCCCACTCGGTGCCGAGGTGAATGTGTTTTGTGCTGTGACCTTTGAAAAGATACCAAATCCAACAGGGTCCAGGTTCTAATTGTCAATTAAATCTAAACTTCTGGATCTCTGAATATCCGTGGATACAGTTCCAAGTGTTTGGACCAGTTGCTTTGGTCAGAGTTCAGACGGCAGCAAACAAGGAGAAGTTCAGACTGCTGTAAACAAGGAGATAGCAGTGACGCGATGGTGGCAGATACCACTTCTGTCTTCATACCCCTGCACCCCCTCAACTCACAGACTCACATCTAGCGAAGTAAAACACACTTACAAATCAAAAGCAGAAACGATCAAGAATACCTACTTAAAAGCAAATGATTCTGAGTCAAGCCTTTCCCTCTTTAACGTCTTGGAGGCCGAATTCAACATGATGAAAACAACTAAAACCATCGGATCACATGTGGATGTTTTCTGAAATGCATTATTTGTCATGTGCACGTGGTTTTAAAGTGACTTTGACTTACATGGCTGTTATGCCCGCAAATTGGGCTTTTTTTTAAAACACACATTTATGCAATCTACTAACATCTCTTGTTTGATCTCTTTGCAAAAAGAAAGTAAAGTGTCAAATGACTGTTGAGGAAAATGTTTTTTTTTACGTCCATCAAAATGTATTAATTGAATTTTATTGATCCCCAAAAGAGAAATAGTATCAAAACTGTTTGACAAAAAACAAACAAATATATAAACAACTAAGTAAAAAATAAATGTGAATATTTTGACAAACATATTTGATAACATCTTCACTATTTTCATCGAGTCATCTTCAGCT